TTAGTGGGGTTGATATCCCACATCTCATTTTATTTTTACCTATGTGTATTAATATGACTGCAACTCCAAAGGAATTTTCAAATTGATGATTTATTTAAAAGATTGTTATAATTCGAAAAAAAAAGATAGCTTTATCTTATTTAAAAATATACCACACCCCTTTATTTCTTGTGTGCATTGTATTTGATTCCATAGATGTAGAATTGGATATAAATATGTTGATTTATGGTTGACTCTTTATTTATTATTGAAGTATTACTAATCTTGACTTGTAGGAAGATAATTGTTAATATAAATGCTATTAATGCTAAGTCTAAACTTAAAATGTTTATGCAGCATTAGTGATAATGAATTGCATTGTTCAAGTCTTTCTACGGTTCATTACTTCTACTTTCTCTCAATCTAGAATCTAATATTCAAACAATTTCCAACACAAAGGGTAAGTTCAGGCTATTTGGTGGTTTGCTCAACATAGTTTTACTGCCAAAGACAAAAAAGAACAAGGAATCCAGTTTCTATTTCTCAATTTTGATAATTTATCTAACAACTTCTTTGTTGAGTTTTTTTGGTTGATGATTTATGCAAGATTAACTGATTTTTCTTAATTTTCAGAATCTGGTGGAGTCGATCACAAAAATACTTTACCAAGTTTTCTTTTTATTTTCACTTGCAAAAACAAAATTTTTTAGCAGCTGCTGATCTCCACTGTTGCGGTTTGAACAAGCTTTTAGTCAACGGAAGGAAACATACTTGATGAAAACACGATTCCATTAGAAGCGCGCGGGGGGGCGGCTAAACACTCAATCATGTCGTTGGATGATTGGACCAAAGACCAAAACTATAAGAGGTCCCAATAAAATCTAAAAAAGAAAATGAAGATTTTATGATGATTATACGATGGGTTCCTGCAAACCGTATCTGGAGAACATTTCAATCGGTAGGGTGCAAATAACAGATTAAGGTAAATATGGCGAAGTGAAAACTTGGGTATAAAGCTAAGTAAGAACTACGTGGAGGCTTTGATTCTTCTACAACCTCCAAATGAGCGATATCGTATGGGCAACTTTAATTTTGTTTTTTATATATACAAAAAAAAAAAAATTAAGTTCAAGGCCCATTTTTTGTTTTTTAAATTATGTTCAAAACTTTTAAAAAAAAAAAATATCAGTTGAAATTTTTTTCAAAAAAAAATAATTAATTGTTTCCAAATTCTTTAAAAAAATAAAATTTTAAATTGAAAGTATTTTTTAATTTTTTTAGGTGTATTTTTTAATTTGTTTATATTCAAATAATTTTTTTTAAAGCCGGTCTTCAAAATATTAAAACTTTTTAAAACAAATTTATTTGCGATTCGCCCGGAAAATCGATCAGAACCGTCGGTTTTGTAACCGCGATCGGAAACTCAAAAACCGATAACCGAACCGGACGGTTCCAAACCGGACACCAGGAACCCGAACCTTTTCGGTTCTGGGTTTCTCTGGTTCCAGTTTTTTCTGGATAACCGGAAACGACCGGTGTCCGGAAACCGTAGGCCATGCCGTAGGTTGCACCCTTTGTCACCGAACAACTTCTACAAAAGTCCAAAAAATGTCCGTATATATTTTACAATATATTTAGTTTTAGCCGTCCAAATGAACTCCTTAGCACTACTGCTACACCCCTATCTATAATACCATTTTCCAAATCTATATAATACCATTTTCCAAATTCTGCTAGTTCGGGCCTTTTATTTTGACTTGGTTTTTTGGACCACCGTCAACAATGCTGCTATTCTTTTTGACAATTCTAATGTTGCCCTCGTTCCCTATATATATTATATATGATAATATAGAAAACGAATTATACCCTAGTGATCATCTTATAGCTTAATAGTAAGCGCTATCAAAATTTTATCAAACACTAATATTGATATGCTAACCGCTATCAATTATCAGTCACCAGTCATCGACAATTGTTATTAGTTATCAATTGGTATGAACAACTGAAACAACTCAAATTTTTATTTTCAAAGATTTTCCAATTAAATTTAATAAACCGACAGCTTGGAAATTTATTTTAATATTTTAATGCGAACACTGTTAATATGTTTAATGCGAACACTGTTGAGAAAACCGAATCGAAAACCGACTTTGAAAAAGTCGAAAACCAATCGGGATATATAATCAAAGATTTGGTCGAAAAATTCCGGGAAAAAAACCGGGAAACTTTTTCGAACCGTTCGGACCTCAAACCACTCAGAAAATTCCCTTTCCTTTTTTTTTTCGGGCGCTGCACCTCTCTATCCTCACCTATTCACAGCAGCGCCTCCTCCTTCCTCTTCTTCTTCTTCTTTCTTTTTCTTCTTCTTTCTTCTTTTCTTTCCCTTTTCTTTCTTCCTTCTCTTCTTCCTTTCTTGCCTGTGACTGCGCCTGCGTCGACCTTCAGCCAGCAACAGCAAGGCGCGATTCCACAGGTCCAGTCGCACCGCCTCCAATCCGCGCACAGCACCGCCTCGCCGCTCAGCTCCGTCTGCTGCCGACAGCCAGCGGCTCAGCCTGCTCTAATTGAGCAGCGCTTCATCACTCGCCAGATCGCAGCCGCCACAGCACCTGCAGCAGCGCTTCATCCTCAGCCAAATCGCAGCGCCACAGCTCCTCGAGTTCATCGCGCCACCATCCTTGCTGTCCAGTAGATCGCGCCACTTGCTCGCAGTCTCGATGCGCGTAGCTCCGATCTAGCACGCGTAAGCCTTTCCGATCTAGCAAAATTCAACAAAAATTATACTTGGGGTATAGAGCAATTCTTACTAATTCTCAGAATTTATTTTAGTAATTTGGGTATAATTTAACTTAGTAATTTTAGTTAATTAAATTAATTTTAGTAATCTTGATTAGGTAATTTAATTTAGCAAATTTGATTAGTTGAATTAATTTAATTTAGTGTTGATGAGTCGATTAATAAAAATATATTTGATTAATTAAAATTAAATTCTGGTAAACAATTGTTGGGAAATTATGATTTTATGGAATTAAAGAAAAAATTAATATAGTTGGATTTATGGAATTAAAGAAAAATTAATATAGTTGATGTGGATAAATGTGGAGGACGGGAAAAAATTAAATTGATGGAGGATGGAAAATTTAATTGATTGATTGACCGATGGATGGGCCGGATTTGGAGTTATTAGATAAAATTATTGATATTTTAAACAGGTGGAAAGTCCAATTTTTAGGGGAGATGTTGTCGAAATTTCGGTAGAAAATAAAATGAATTGCGGTAGCAAATAAAATTTATTATAGAAATTTAATTAATTATAGAGAGTAAATTATTGATAGAAATTAAATAGGTTAAGAATAGTAGTGTGATGAATAAATATTTTAAAATAAAATATTTTATCTGGATTATTATTTCTTTTTACGACTGGTCATTTTTACTTTGCTTAGATCGCTCGCGGTTCCATCTACTAGCTCCTCCCGGATAGAATCAAAACTAGAGCTTCGTTCTCCACCACGTGAGTAATAATAAATAAATGCTCATTATCAACACGTGCCATTTGCATAACATTAACATTTTTATATTTATTTTACCATATTGTATTTTCTCATATATATTATGTTATTGATCACACATCAAATTATACTTTGTGCATAATTTGTGCATTTGGATGAAATTGGCTGTATTATGATATAATGAATTGTTTGATTATTTGTTGCGTGTAATATACTGTGACTCACTTTGATGTGGAGTTGGGCAGTGTGCAAGTGCGCCGCTCACCCCATTGGGTTTGTGAGGAACGGCACCATCCGCAATAAATAACGGATCCTGATGTAACTGATGCAACCAGCCTGGACCGTTCTCGGCCGGGTAAAAATGGGAGATCGGCGCCCCCGGTGTTGCACCTGCATGAACTGATGAAATGATGTTGATTCGATATGGAAAAGAAAAAAAGAAGAGAATGTAAAAATAAATATTGAGGAGCGACTGGTCAAAGTGAGGATCCTAGATCCGGATCTGGCCCAGTATATCGGGGATTGGCCCTCCCCCGTGAGTGCACATGTTTTGAGAGGATGGGCTGTTTGACGAGGACGGCTCGCGTCGGGGATTTAGGTTGACGCCACTTTGAACGTTAATTTCCCACGCTGATGTGATTATTGAAAGGGATGATATTGTGTGGGTGCTCGACTATGATGACATATGCTGACTGTGACTTGTGTGTGTCTCATTCAGTATACTAGGGTGCATTTTGCTTGACCCTTGTATTGTGGTGTGTATTATTTCTTATTATTATTTCACTGGGAGTGCAAAAACTCCACCCCTCTCTCTCCAAACCTCCCAATTGGTACTAGGAAGCAGCTGATTCGATGAAGCTCTTGCAATCTTCTCCGCCAGAGTCATTAAATGTTAACTTCTCCGCAGAGTTACAAATGTAAACTTTATATTCTTGATATTTAATTTTGAATGTATAAATTATTCTGTTATCAGATTTTTTTGGACTCCGCAATTATAGGGTTGTGTATTTAAATTGGGGTTTATTGTTAGCACTACGCTATAAATTAATTATTGTGTAATTAACTGTAGGTAAACTAGTAAGCCCTTATTGTGATTATTTGTTATTGTGAATAGGCCCTGGTTAAATTTTATGTATTATTTGATATTGGGTCAGATGTTTGAAAATTTTATAAAACTTATATCTTAAGTCATATGGGCTGGGCTTTTTTTTTTTACTGTTTTGTTGAAATTTAGGAGAAATCATGTAGACAGGAGGTTGACTAATTTAGGCTTACTACGGGCTCGGCAGGGCCTTAAGTCTTACCTAGGCCTTTAGTGCAGCGTCCTGGCCCACGGAACGGGTCGGTGACAAACAACTAAACAAATTGATGTCCTTGGATTGAATAATTTAGGCTTACTACGGGCCTCGGGGGCCTTAAGCTTACCTAGGCCCTAGTGCAGGTCCGGCCCACGGAAACGGGTCGTGACAACAACTAAACCAAATGAGTCCTTAGTATAGTTCGCTTGAAGTATTTTATCAATAGCAGTTATCAATTAAAATCCTTTATTAATTTTTTTAATGCAAGTTATGTGAAAAATACATTAAGTTATCTCATGCGAGAATCTTTACTTAAACAAAGTGAAATTATTCGATAAATTGAAACCGACTAAAGAGGAAAAAAATCCAAGCCACCTATCAATCATAGCAAAACATTCCTTTGGCTTGTACTCTGGAGCTGTATGTCCTCCTCCCTGCATATCGGCAGGCCACATTAAGGACTAATTATTTAATATTTTAATTACAAAAAAAAATTTAATTATTATTATTAATTATTAGAATATATACATACAATTTTAATTTGATTTCGATTCTAGCTCATTGTTTTAATTTTTGATCAATTAATATTCAATCATGTAAAACACTTTAGGATATTATGAACTTAGCATTCATTCAATTTCAGCAAAATTAGTCTCCCTCTTCATATATATGCACATAGAGACTCAATAAAATTTTTATTATATATTGACCCCAGAAAAATATTTTCTAGATTCCCACTGTGACGCACACACATTCTTACCTTAATAGTTGCGTATGTCAACATGTACATGTTACGGTAGTATTCCATCCAGTATCTGTGCCGAAAGTTGAGGTAAATTATGAGAAAATTATGAATTAAATAATTAAAATTTGCAGCTAATGCCTACCAAGAATTTATATATATAGCTAGAAAAATAAGATCCAACAATAGTCGAAGTTAAGTACCAACCCTGCAACTTGACCATCGAGGAACCATGGATTCCAATCGTATTCAATTGTCAAATTTAGAGCCTCTATCCATGCCATGGTACTCAGAAATGGAACAGATATGTCTTGATCACCACTGTGCAAGAAAATACAAAATTAAAACTAAAACTTTGATCGAAATAATATTGCAAAATTTAGCTTATAATATTGGAAATTAAAATTATGAAGTGTTGGACTTACACCAGTATCTCCAAATGCAATGGGAAAATGTATATAGCTTTTAATTTTTTTTTCAAATTTTTTATAATCATTTTTGACATTATTAAGTCATTTTTTTTTACATGGAAAAGAAAAACAGCGTTCCACATGTGAAAAGTAGTTTAAGTGAGAATATATGTTTGAATTCAACAAATGATTTCTGAAAATTGTCATTTTGGATTTTAGATTGTTTGAGTTATTTTTTTTTTTATCCAGAATGGTTCTGATTGGATTACTTCTAATTGCACGCAGCTTGACAATATGAAAAAAATATATATAACAATAAAGTAAACCAAGTATTAAAAAATAAATTATATAGAGGGATATTAATTATTCATAAGCTAAAATGGGACTAAACCAAATTGGATTACATAATTTAATTTAGCTTGACTCTTAAATAAAAAAACATTAATTTAATTAGTAATTTTTATAAAAAATAGTTTAAAAGTTTTTTTTTCTTTCTCAAACAAATCAACCAAATTTACTATTGTATAAATATTCTAATATGTGGTTAAAACGTAAGTTTTTACTATTATAGAGTAAAAAAATTTTATTGCTTGAGAAATATACGATAGCTTTCTTTCTTTGATGTTTAACAAAATTTAACAATATAAAATTATCTAAATATTAAAATTGATATACAAAGTAAAACTTAGACAAAAACCTACATATATTTAATGTTATGCGGATAAAATTTGAAAAATATATTTACCTGTAGATCAAAACTTTTAAGCCCTTCTCAGTGAGATTTCGATGCAATCCAAAACTGCTTGTGAGATCTTTTGTGTATAGAAGACTTGTATTGCATCTTACCCAATTTTCTATTGTCCCCTGTTTTAATTAATTGTTGAACAATTAAAATTTAGAAAACCAAAAAATTATCAACTCAAGATTATATCAAATACAAAAAAGGCTAGCATAATTATCAACGTACCTCTCGAATGTGAAGAGCTTTTTGTACCATTTTATCATTAAGCCAAGCGTAGGAAGGGATATAGTTATAAGTCTACAAGACCAGAAAAAATCTCAATGTGTAATTAGTGGTCAATAATTATTGATTAACAAAATATGTATATGTAGAATAAGGGATGTATTCGGCAATAGTTTTTTAAATAGCTTACGCTAGTTAAAAAGTTATTCGTGTGACATAGTATTTAGACTAGCGTTTAGAGATTATGATAGTATTTTATGAGAAGTTAACTTATGTAACGTTTAGCGTTTAGCTTTTTATGAAAAACTATTTAAACAGCTAACAGCTAAATGCTACTAAGACTGTGTTCAGCAATAGCTTTTTAAGTAGTTTTTAGCTTTTTGACTAAATAAGGGATGCTTTTTGTACCATTTTATCATTAAGCCAAGCGTAGGAAGGGATATAGTTATAAGTCTACAAGACCAGAAAAAATCTCAATGTGTAATTAGTGGTCAATAATTATTGATTAACAAAATATGTATATGTAGAATAAGGGATGTATTCGGCAATAGTTTTTTAAATAGCTTACGCTAGTTAAAAAGTTATTCGTGTGACATAGTATTTAGACTAGCGTTTAGAGATTATGATAGTATTTTATGAGAAGTTAACTTATGTAACGTTTAGCGTTTAGCTTTTTATGAAAAACTATTTAAACAGCTAACAGCTAAATGCTACTAAGACTGTGTTCAGCAATAGCTTTTTAAGTAGTTTTTAGCTTTTTGACTAGTGAAAATGCTAAATGCTACTTAAAAAGTTGTCGGTAACATAGCGTTTGAACTAACTTTTAGAGGTTAGGGTAGTGTTTTGTAAAAAATTAACTCATGTAATGTTTAACTTTTAACGTTTCAGCTAATTATACAGCTAACAACTAAACACTACTAAATCAGCTAATAACTGCCAAAACAGCTAATTTTGCCGAATAGACTTTAAAACAACTACCAAAACAACTAATTTTGCCAAATATATCCAAGAGCTAATACAGTCTAATTTTATTAGTCTTTTTCACATCTTTTAAAATGAGAAATGAGAGATCTTGAGTCTGTGTCTACTGCTATTTTGAATCATTTGCGCTCCAAAAGGAAAAAAAAAAATGAAAAAGAATAATTACCCGACACCAAGGTGATCTCGAAGTATGAATATCTATAGGATCCTCCATAAGAGCACTTTCAGCTCTCTCTAATTTGGAAGGTTTTGGAGACAAGTACCCGCAAAAAGGTTCCAATATTTGCATAAGATTTATTTTTTCAATACACTACAAAATAAAATTGTAAAAATGTGTTAAAGGAAATAAGCACTAATCGCTGCCAGAGGCTAAAGCAGAAAAGCATCAAGTATACTTAAAACTTCCTTCATTTCTATAAAATAATTTACACAAAAATATTTTCTATTTTTTGAAATATTAAAAGAAAATAAGTCATGGAAAATAACTTGTTGGTCAATGGAAAATTAGTTAGCATTTAAGAAAAATAACATACCCTTATTTAAAACATTTTTCTAACGTATTTCATAACCAAAAACTGGTCTTTTTGGTCCGTCAAGGAACCCTCCACCTAGTGAAGAGGTGCAATTGTAGGCCTCAATCTCTTTGAAAGTGTAAAACTTGTGTCAGGTGGCTCTTTTTTTGTGGAAAAAATGTTTAAAAAATAATTTATTGACAGGTTCATACCATTTAAAATATATTTTACATGATATTTTTTGTGACATGATTAAAATAATCATTAAATTATTGTAACAATATATTTTAAAATAATTATAGTACATATATATTATTAAACTATTTTAACATGATATACACTGTATCGTTAAATAATTTAATTAAAAAATTAAATCACATTATTAGACTAAATTAATTATCATTATCTATGAAAATACATCTTAAATATAAAATCTAATTATTATAAAATTTATCTTTAATCTAAATTCTTATAAATAATAATTATTATAAAATTTTATCTTTAATCTAAATCTTATAAATAAATATAAATAGTGGTGGAGTTAAATGCCTATTTTTTATGTTCCCGATGGGGAAATGTGAAAAGTTTTTCAATGTTATTATCAACCTTAGCTTTTGAAATCAATGATTTTTCTTAAATATAAAATCTAATTATTATAAAATTTATCTTTAATCTAAATTCTTATAAATAATATAATAGGTGTAAATGCATTTATGTGATGGAAATTTAAAATTTTTAATGTTATATCAATTGTTGAAAAATATTTTCCAAGAATGTTTTGTGTAAAGCCAAACGTCAAAAAATAATCTATTTTTCTATAAAAATATTTTCCATGGAAAACATTTTTCAGTTAGTTATATTTTACCAAATTATTTTCCGGAAACAAATGAGAGCATTAATTTTTAATTTTTCAATTTATTCCTTGTTTAATTTTTAAGACTTACCTGCTCGTAAACCTGGAGAACAACTGCACAAGCTGTATTGTTGGGTTCTGCATAGGTATAATTGCCCTTGCAATTTCTTTTGCCAGTCTAGAAAAAATGAATAAAACTTGGAATGTTAAAATGAATATTCTTTTTTAGGGTTTTATTTTTATTTAATTTTTTCAAACCAATTTATTAAATTATACCTCATAAACTTCTTCTGATATAAGTCCTGTGAAGTAAGCATACTTAAATCTTGAGTTGGTGTCTTTAGCCTCATCTGTAACTGGATTTCCAAGCACATATCCCTACACCAAATTTAGTGTTGGACATCAACTATGCTATATTACTACATACTAATAGTTATATACAGAAACGTTTCCGATGAGTTTCCAAGTGTTTCCGTGCAAAAAATGACAGACAAAAAAATTTTCATGCAACATATCACTACAACGGAGGTAAATGATGTGGCAAAAATGATATATTAATATGCTAATATAATTACTTCATTTTGATGGAAAATTTAATATTATTGGCAATAGAAACATCAAACAAGCCTCTCATACCACTAGATTCATGTTCGGATTCCGTCCTGCATCATTCCCTAAAAACAAAGAATTGAACAGCAATATCAAATAATGAAAAAAAAAAAAAAAAGAAATCAAGGTTATATGTTTCACTTATTTTCTTTCTCAAAATAAAAAGTGGTAAATAGACATGCAAGAATAAATATTTCACATTGAAGGTTACCGTTAACGATTTCTTGAACAACTAATGGGACAATTTTGCCAGAATAAGTTTCACATTGAAGGTTACCGTTAACGATTTCTTGAACAACTAATGGGACAATTTTGCCAGAATAAGTGTCACCAGCGATATAGAGTCTGTTACTTTGAAATTCTGGATGATCCAAAAGCCACTGCATATCACAACAAAATATTTTTATCATAAACATTTTATCTAGAATTATTTTAATTAATTGTTTTAATAAAATTCAATTTAATAATATCTTTAGATTCAATATTTCAGATGTTTTTTTTATAACACATTACAATTTAGGTATAAGTATGAAAGTGATTGTGATATGCAAATAACAGTCTTTCAGAAAAAAAGGAAAATGAAAAATAGAACTTTTTTTCAACATTTTTACATCCCCTAATTTTCAACAATACCCCAATCACATAAATTGAATTTTATATTATATATATAAAAAAAAGACTCACTCTAGCTATTTGCAATCTTATTGATTGTTTTTCCCAATTTATACTATTTCAAAAAATTAATTATATTTTTACCCCCAAACAAATTCTTTCTTTTTCTTCTTTCTTCCACTATTGGTGATGCTATGGAAGTAGTTGAGCATATCGGTAAAACTTTTGGATAAATTTAAAACAATTTAGTTTGATTTTGATTTTAGTAGAAATAAATTTATTCTAAAAAATAAGTCCATATTAGATTTGATTCAATTTTAATTTTAATTTTTTCTATACAAAAATTCAGTTTATTTCATTTTCTCACCTTCCTTAAAAATTCATAATTTGCAGCCCCTTGGTTAGTGTCGCTGCTTTGGTACGCCTGCGAAGTTGTTGCATATGAAAATCCAGTACCAACTGGTGCATCCAAAAATATTATACTGGCTACCTGAAAAAACATTTTTTAATTTAATTCATTAGACTTTTCATTTTAAGATAATACAAAATTCATATACTGAAAATTCTTATCTCAGAAAAAACTCTGACAGTTGACACCTTTGTCCATGAATATGGGTTCAACTCAAGGGTTGGCTTCACTCTGGACTTTGCATAGTTAAATGATAATGGACCTTCAATAAAGAACACAAGAAATTTTTACATGGTTGGTTTAAGAATTACCATAAATTTTTTTTATTTTTTAAGACTGAAATGATTTAATTTTTTTTAATCTTTATTATTAAAAAATATAAAATTAATATTTCTTAAAAGATATTAAGAAATTTTACCTATTTCATATACAAGGGCACTAAACCCAGAACAACCAGGGCCTCCGGTCAACCAAAGAAGAAGAGGATCCTCTTGTGGATTCCCCTCAGACTCAACAAAGTAGTAGAACAATTGCACCTCATCCAATTGCCCTACACCAATATACCTTAATTCCGAAAAAAAAAAAAAAAAAAAAAAAAAATTGCACCTCATCCAATTTGCCCTACACAATATACCCCTTAAAAATTTCCGAAAAAAAAAAAAAAAAAAAAAAAAAAAACATCCAAATATATAATCTTATTAAAAAAAAAAAAAAAAAAAAAAAAAAAAATCATATATAATCTTATTTCAAATGATTAATAAATGTAAATCATAAGTTAGTTAATGTAATAAGACTAACCCAGTTTCCAATTTGAAGGGGAGATTGCCGGGAAATCCTGGAAGTGTCTTGATGATTGACTGTGACAAAACAATTTGCGAGAGAAGCAAAAAAAAATTACTTGCAGAAGCATTTTATACAATAGAAGAAGAAGAAGTGATGCTGTTTCTTATAAGGATAGATAGAAAGCAGATTTGATATACAATAGAAGAAGAGGCCAAGGAGATATTGTACTGTTCCTTTTGGCTTGCCTCATCTTCCACTTTCCACCTTCCACCTTAGTCTCACGTTTACTGAAGCTACCTCATGAGTGAGGTAGGCAATTTTGTAAGTTTTTCCCCCTTGATAAATAAAATTTAAAAGAAAATTAAGGTTTTAGATTTCTTCGGCAAAATTAAGTATTTTGCTAGTTGTTTGCTGTTAACTGTTTTAGTAGCATTTAATTATTAACTGTTTGAGTAATTTTTTATATAAAATGCTAAAAGCTAAACGGTATATGAGTTAACTTTTTATAAAACGCTACTTTAACCTACTTTCTCCTTACCTGGTAGTTCTGGCTTCCCCGTAGGAGGTAATTGTTGTAGAAGCAATCAACCAAACCTAGCATAGCCTTCACCAAACTAGCATGCCTTTCCTCGTATCCTATAATTAATGATTTGCCAAAAAATGTTTTTCTTAATTGCATATGTAGATTGTTTAACGGGTCGGAAACACATAGTAATCCTTGGTGCTTCATAAAACCTAAGTACATTTAATTAGAGAAAGTCTGTAATTAATTAGAAAGGGAAAAAACCAAGCTACCTATAAACCATGGCAAAACAAAAACATGTGGAGCTGCGTGACCGGCTCCCGACAAATTAGTACAATAGTTTAAGTTTAATTATTTTAATTAGTATTGCATTCTGCTAGCTTGAGCACGAAAATCCATAAATATTACATAACGTAATATGGGTGTACTTGCCGTAATTGTTTCATATGTCAAAATGTATATATTTTGGGAACATCGCATCAAATTAATACCTGAATCAAATATTTTCATCTCAAGAAAAAAAAACCTACATCAAATTAATCTAATTATGAGAAAATTAATGGCATTTTAAATTAAAAATGTTTTAGAACTTATTATAGTTGAATTATGCCCTTGAGAGTTTGCTTTATATTGCATTAGATCTCGCAATTTAATTTGTTGAAGTGTGTAGGTAATCTTACGTTGGATAAATATACACTAACTAAGTGGCATATAATAAAAAAGTGAACCAATCAAAATAGTTTAAGTTATTTGATATTAAAGGTAAATCCAATTCATTTTAAGTCCAAATATTAAATACATTACTAATTACTAATTGAATTTAATTAATTTGCTTGTAGAGCCAGATTCTTAACAAATTTGAATTCTGAAATCAACTAACCTTCTCCCATGAACTAAATTAAACCATAGAAGTAAAAAGCTCTTATCTAGACTTGACACAATGTTGTGGGCAGGAATTGTGGATATGGTTGTTGCATTTATCTTCCTTGCCCCACCTTCCACTTACTATTAGTATTATTGGATCCTTCAACTAACTTTCTTCAACTAACTTTCTTCAACTAAACCACCGTTAGGATGTAGCCAGACTTTGGAGTTAAAGGGGATCTATTGAGAATCTGGGTTTTAGGAGTAAATTAATTAAATCAAATTCAATTATGTATTTAATATTGAGCATATAATGAGTTGGACTTACGTTTAACACAAAATGGCTTAAACTATTTTGATTGATTCACCCTTCACATTATATGTCTTTTAATTAGTTGTATTTATCCGATGTGGGATTACTCACATACTCGGACAGGACCAAAGAAAATTATCAAAATTTAAAGGATAGGTAAAAAAATTCATTGTCCCCACCCAACCCCAAAATCATTTACAATAATATTTAAGAAATTACTTTTTCAGTCTTTCATGACACATTAGTACATTAATTGAATCATTTGATCAAATTTTGAGCTACACATTTTATTGGACAAAGCCTATTCCAATGATTCACTCTTTCGATGTATTGAGACGCCAATTTTTATCCTCGAAATTAAAAAATTGGAGTCAATCTGAAAAAAATGGTTTCAATTTGTTCTAGTTTCAACATGATTCCGGTAAAATACTTTTTTAAAATAAAAAAATTTAATAAGAAATTTCAGAAAACTTAAATTAGTTTCATTTTTTCATTGTAGAATTTGAATATTCTTTGGCAAGCCAAGATATTAAGAAATGGCACAATTGCAGTTGGGCCCTTGAACTTTTTATTTTCCTCTTTTGGCTAATCGGACAAACTGGCCCGTCTTGGTTAAATTATAAAGAGAAGTTATCATCCTTGTGCAGAAATCAGAAATTCATACAAGAGGAAGGAAGACACCAAAACTAGGAGAATGTCTTTATTTTATGATAGAATTCATTACAAGAAAAATTATCTTTCAAAATGATAAATCAAACGCTCCATTTTTCAATTGTTCAATTATTTATGTTCACTTAATCCTGCTATGTATAGCAATTCTAGTTGTTTCATGAGACTTGAAGTAATTAAAGAGGGAAAAGAGCAAGCATGTTAAAGACATTCCTTGGGCTTATACTCTGGAGCTGTGTGACCTGCTCCCTACAAAATAATAAAGTAATTAATTATTTTAATTAATCTTCTACTTGGCTTGAGTAGGAAAATATATAAATATCATATTTAATGGGTGTTCTTGCCTTAACAGTTGCATATGTCAAAATGTAATAACTGTGATACCATTGTATCCAATACCTACAACATGTTAAAGTAATTATGAGACAACAATTTTCCTTAAGAAACAATTATGAGAAATATGAAACTTCAAATTGAAAATATTTGGAACCTTTTTGAAGTGAAGGATATAAAATTAAATAAGTATGCCATTACACTAATACTTCAATGCTCAAATATTTACTTTATATAGGGCATAAGATCATGGAACTAAATCTTAACAATTCCATATTTTGAAATATTTCAGATTTACGAAAGAAAGAATTAAATATATGACAAATGTGATATATGTGGTTTGATTGGTCTTCCACTAGTGTGGAGAGTGAGTGGCTTCAGATTTAAGTAAAGAGAGGTCAATTGATCCCTTTTTTTTTTTTTTTTTTTTATTTTTCTAATAAATTGAAACATCCCGAATTTTTATTTTAAATAAATGAAACAGGATTTTCCGCCGAATTTCTTATTTTCGAAAAATTTTCGAATTTTTTATAATTAAAAAGATCTCGACTTTCAACTGATACTAGGGGACGACTATAAATAAACAAACAATTTAAGGAGTCTCAAGTTATAGCGGGAGAGTTGGCCTTAACCCCAAAGCTATTATTAAAATATATTTGGCCGTGATTGGAGTGAACCTTTGGTAAATCTGTTTAAGAGTAAATAATGGAGCACTAATTACTTAAAATTGTATAAAAGGGTGTAAGTATATGTTGTGATTTACTATTAGTACATTAATTATGTCAAAAATCTAACGATATTTTGTCTATTAATCTATTATGATGTATATACTAGTTGTAAATTGAGAAATGTTCTAGAAACTAATAAAAGAATCAAAATAAACTCAAATCGGATATAGAAATGACCAAGCAAATCGAACCAAACCGATTCGAATCGAACCGGAATAGTCTAGAAACCAAAACTTCTTTTCTTCTTCTTCGTCCTTCTTCTCCAGCGCCGACCCAGTAGCTCCCCCATCCCTTGGTCTCGTTTTTCCGACCACCAGAACCAGCGCCGCCTCGTCGCGCCTCCTTGCCACGCCGTCGCCTCAAGCAGCTCCGGCCTCTCTTCCTCTCCTCTCTTTCTTTTCTGGCGTATGCAAAAGGCGCAGGAGAGTCGCGACTTCCTTCGATCGGGAAATCGTGTCGAGCCTCCTGCTCCTCGAGTTTCCAGCGATGCCGGCTTCTCTCTCGTCGATGAAGAAGCTCCGGTCTGGTCTCTCCTTCACTCTCTCCTTCCCGTTTCGGCTGGCGGAGTGAAACCAAAAAAAAAAAAAAAAAAAAAAAGAAAAGAAAAGAAGCTGCGATCGCAACTCGCAGTAGCACACCACTATTCTTTTCTCCAGCCAAATTAGCGACGGCAGAATTGGACTTTGATCATTGGAGCTGTTTCCGGTCACTTGTATCAAAAATATTCAGTTTTCCGGCATTTTCGCAACTGGGTAAGCAATTTTCAACCTTTCTTTTAGTAATGTATGTTGTCTTTCGAATTTGATAGAAGGATTGAGTATAAATCAAAGTTTGTGAAGGGATTTTCATTTCTAGCCTTTATTCATGCTATTTTATTAGAAAAATTTAATTCTTCATACCAAATTTAGGCTATAACTAATTTAATGAACAATTTAGTACGATTTCTAAAGAAATGTTAAAATTTGCTTGATGATTACTGCTGTGAATCATGATATTGGAGGAAAAACTAGGTGCTAAGCTAATGTTGAACAAAATTCTAGGAGAAGTATTTAAATTGTTATGCAATTGAAGCTATGAGTTGAAACCTTATAAAATTGTTATGCAATTGAAGCTATGAGTTGAAACCTTATAAAGCAATGGTTAGATTGTTGTTACAATTGCTTCCACATTATTCTATTACTTGAACTTTGAGAATGATGGGATGAGAATTGATGCGATAACTAAATTTCTTGCCGCATGGCAAATTTGTTAGCATGTAGGTTGTAGGTTTGATTAGAGACTTGATTTTTTTGTATTGGTACGAAGAAAGAAAGACACGTATAAGTTTATATATGACTTATTAGGTATATTCATATAAGTGTGTAGGGAGAGTTTAAGCTTGAAGTTTTAAATGTCAAGGTACCAATGAAAAGATATGGAATAAGAATTAATGGTGAAAGTTAATTATGCACACATGCTTGTCTTGTATACACATACATATGTATCCAATGACTGATAAATGATGTTATTTAGAATACGAATTAAGCTTGTGTAAGTTGTTATGGATGTTAAATGGCGATATTGTTATTTAAAGAAAGACGGGTATTCGATTTGATTGATTGCCCGACGGATGGGCTGTGTGTATTAATATATATATATTATATATATATATATATATATATATATATATATTATATATATAATATTATTTGTGATATTTAACAGGGTAGAGTAGTCCTATTTTTAGGGGAGATTGCTGCCGAAATTTCAATAGAAAACCTAGACTAGGTTTTAATAGTTTTAATTAATAACATAATAAATAAGCCTATTTAGATAATTTCTATAATTTGATACGTAATAAATAAAGTGCTTTAATTACTTTATCATTATCATTATTATTCATTCAATTATTTATTTGTTTTCATTATCATTGTTTATTATTATTATTATTATTATTATTAATTTTATCGTTGTTGTTTATTGTTAATATTATTTATTTAATTATTTAATTGCATTTGAGAATGGATGTCTAGTTGTGCATTGCATCACGATGTTCAACTGATCAATATGTTTGCATTTAATTGCAATGTTTGATTAATTGTGTTGTGATAATGCTATGCTTGTTTGTGTGGATGAATGGGTCACCATGTTTTGTTGAGACCATTACCGTTATATGGATCCCTGATCTTGATTACTGGTTAGCCGGGTAAATGGGGAGATCGGCGCCCCCGTGGCACCTTACCGTTGCACCTACCGTTATGATCTGTATGATATGGAAAACCACAGGTTGGTTTCTTTATTGGGCGCACCTGATAATCTAGATTTGATCGCAGCCCGTAGGGTGGTCTCTTGTTGTGAGCGCCTGATGATCTAGATTTGATGGAGATGACCAGGTTGCCTTCTGTTGGTATGGAAAAGAAAAGAGAGAATGGAAAAATAATGAGAGGGCTGGTCAAGTGAGGATTAGATCGGTCAACCAGAATGGGGGATCGGCTCCCTGGTGCACACGTGAGAGGATGGGCCATGTGGGAGGACGGCTCATCAGGGGTTTCGGTGACGCCACAGACCAATTCCACGTGACTGTGATTATATGAAGTGTTATGATTGTGAGTGCCTAGGTGCTGGTGATTTGCCATTTGTGTGACTGGCTGCGTGAGCATATAACTAGTCGGACGACTAGATTAATATGTTTACACATTTGTGTGACTGCGTGTGGTGTGCAAAAATTCTTACTCCTTAGAAAAACTCACATGTCTTGTTTGATTTTTCAGGAAGTAGGTTTTTCCTTTAATCCGATTTAGGCTATGCTTCTTCGGCGCAGGGCAATAAAGAAATTTTTCTAGTTTCATAATTTTTTGCTATGTAATCATGTGTATAAAAGCTATGTATACTAAGAGTTAGTGACTCCGCAGTTGTAGGATTTACATATTTTTAGTCGTGTATTAATATAGCCAAAGCAATTCTGTAAGCCTATGTTAGAAATGTGATGTATTGTGAATTGGGCCCGAACTATGGGATGTCGTAGAAGATAAACTTGGGCCGAGAAATAATAAAATCTTGAGGTTTATTGTTCATAATCATATGGGTTGAATGTTAAAATTTTATTGAGATAGTAAATTTCTAGTATTTCAGGCTTACTACGGGCCTCGGGGGCCTTAAGCTTACCTGGGCCCTAGTGCTGGTCCGGCCCACGGAAACGGGTCGTGACTATTACGGCCTCGGGGCCTTAAGCTTACCTGGACCCTAGTGCCGGTCTGGCCCATGGAGTCGGGTCATGACATAAATATATGTAATTTATCTAAATTAATCCATAAATTTTAAATTTATTTATGTCTCCCATCTTTTTTTATATTGACCCCGGATAAAAATATTTTTAAGTCTTTTTAACTATAAGAGTTTTTACCATATTAGTAAACAAAAAGGAGAGAGATATCCTTATTGTATAGCTCGCAATATTCTTTCGTGTCATAGGTATTTTAATTCAGAAATATATATATATGCAGCAGATGAAAATGGATCCAAAAATCAAAATTAGTGATAATTAAATACCAACCCTGCAACTTGGCCATCAACAAACCATGGCTGCCAATCATATTCAATTGTCAAATTTAAAGAATCTATCCATGCAAAGGTACCCACATATGGAATAGCCATGTCTTGATCTCCACTATGCATAAGAAGGGAAATATTAATTATCAGGTTGAACTAATATATAAACTTTCTCTAATTAAAATTTTGAAATTAATGCCCGTATGGTATAAATATATTTAAAATATGAAATTCATTTGTAAATAAATTTTAGTAGAATTTATTTGTGAATGAATTTGCATGTTTGGTACGATTAATTTAAAATATGTTATTCAACTGAATTCTACGTAATCATGTATGGAACAAATTCATAATTGAAAATTTATTTACTTTTGTTTCCTAAAATATTCTTGAAATAGTAATTTCAAAAAAATAAATAATAAATATCAATTATATTTGTGTTATGGTATATAATTTTTTTATTTTTATTAAAATAAATATATAAAATAAACACAATATTAATAAAATTATTGCATTAAATTTAGTAATAAATGGATTTTTAGTTTGAATTTCTCTCATCGATAGTAAAAAAATGCTAAAAATTAAAATAAAAGATGAAAATATTAAAATAAAAACATAATAATAAGAAAAAAATTTCTAAAAAATTAAAATTTTTAAATGGTTTTTGTCAAGTTTGATAAAATAAATAATTTAAATAGGTAAAACATTGAAAAATTGACTTTGTAGATAGAGAATGATAGTTTTGTCATAAAATGTTGGATTGTTTAGTTTTGTGGAATTTATTTGGAAATTTCACCTATTTTTGTGGAATTTGGTGTAGTCATATCCAATTCTATGGAATTGAATTCCTAAAATTAAAATCTACATTTTTTTCATCTAAACACAAAATATGAATTTCTAAATGAATTCCACAAACTCACTTGTTCCAAACATGGGTTAAGAATATAAAAAAAAAAAAAAATTAAACGTGGAAATAAATTTTCTAAAATATAACCCCAATAATTTCTAAAATATTGTCTATAAATGGATTACGATGACTTCCTTCTAAAATGATATTTTAATTATAACCCTAATAATAATTGATATATCAAACAATGTTATGACACATTTGTGAATGGTGAAATTTCAAATCCTCACAAATCAAATTATTAGATAATTTTTAAATAATAATATTAATATTTTTTGTTTTTCTTTTAATTCATTGAGAGGCTCAATTGATCTAATAATATTACAAACATGAACTCAAAACCTCCCAATATAACACTGCAGATTTATATAGAAATATAAACCTGCATATTTAAAATATTTAGTTGTGTAGTAGAAAAGAGAAATCATATGAAATACCTGTAGATCAAAACTTTGTAGCCTTTTGCAAAGAGATTCGATGCAATGGATAAGAACTTGTAAGATCTTTCGTGTACCGTATGCTTTTATTGCATCTCACCCAATATTCTACAATCCCCTGTTTTTCATTAATTTGTTCAATTAATATATAAAATTTAGAGTATACTTATATATAATATTTGTTTGTAATAAAGTCAACTTACTTTTATTAATTGTAATTATTTCATTTTTTAAGCTTTAAAAAAAATTAATTTTCTTTTTATCAGATGCCGACTAATTTTTCTGAACATTCCAACTATCAAAAATTTGAAAGAAAAAAGTTTTGTGAGTAATTTCCATATTTTAAGAATTCAACCATGGATTATTATATTAGATATGGAATATCGAATTTTAATATAAAGATAAAAATAATTTATGCTTGAGAATAAGAGAATACTAACCCGACACCAAGGTGTAGGAACTGAAAATCCTGGAGCCAGGGACTACTAATCTCATAAAGTTCTTCTGATATAAGTCCCTTTAAGTAAGCAAATTCCATCCTTGAATTTATGTCTTTGGCCTCAAATGTATCCCTGATTTGAATATTATAATAATAACAACAACAACGTTGGATTATTATTTTGATTGGTTTAGTTAAATTTTTCATCTAAATCAATTTATAGGGAGAATAATATATTTGAATTTTGCTCCTTGATTTGGTTAAGTTATTTATTGATAAAATTGAAATATTTCAATTCGATTCGGTTCAGTTCAATTACTATATTTTCAATTCGATTGTTTATTTTTCTTTTAAAATTATTTAATCTAATATTTATAAATCAAAAATTTTAAAAATACATAGCATGTATGTAATGAGTTAGATAATATTATTAATTTCTTTGCACAATATAATATGTATAATTAAATTATTAATAACAAATTATATATATAGGCCATTTTCAATTATACTTGAACCATCATGATTTTCAAAATTATTAAAGGACTTTTATTATATGTAACCAAAAAAAAAAAAGTAATTTTTTTATTATAAAAGGAAAGAGAATGAATTAGAATAAGGATTGTGGTTTTACCATATGCAATTTCTTGATTTTGCCTGAATAAGAATCACCAGTGAGGTAGAGTGGACTATTCTGAAACTTTGGGTGAGCTAAAAGCCATTGCATTTTACAAGTAGGAAAATTATATTTTCATGGAAATGTGACATTCAAAAAATAAAATTGAGGCTAAAAATTATAATAATATGTTAGATAAATATAGATTTCAATATATGATTATTTTACAAAAACAAAATAAATACGTAAATTACAATATTTTGGATTTTTATTAATTACAATATTTTCATGGAAATGTGACTTCGCATAGTTGAATGATAATGGACCTTCAATAAATTAAAAAAAAATTACATGATTGGTTTAATAATTAAAAGGAAATTAATAATGAAAAGAAAGGAATTAAAAAAGAGTTGTTGAGTTGTACTGCTTAACCACCTTTAATATTTCATAATTTTTTAAACTAAATAAATCATTAAATCATTGAAATCAAATCAAATTAATTATTACAAAATAATTTATGGCGATTTGATTTAAATTTGGTGTGAAAAAAATATTTATGCATCAATCAATAAAATTGTATAAATATTATAGGTGCATAATAATAAAATTTCAGGAAAGACAAAATAAATGTAAATTTATCTTGTTTTATAATTGTATTTGAAAGTTTTTCACTGAATGATTCATAAAAGTAAATTTTTTTAATTATTAAAAAGCAACTTGCCATAAAATCAGCAAAATCAAAATTAGCAACACCACAGAAACTAATCATCATTGCAACATTTGATAAATTTAAACTTTTTAAACATGAATGGTTTCATTTCATACAAACTGAATCAAATTGTTTGGAAATAATTTGTCAAATTTTAAATATCGAATCAACTCATTTAAAAAAAATAAATAATGTAAAATTCACTTTTCTGATTTGATTTAACGGTTTAAATTATTTAAAAGATGCCGCTTTTTTTAATATATTTATATTCAAATTATAAATGGATTCGGGTATAAAGATATTAAAAATGAATTTTAAACAGCTTTAAAAAAAGAGAGAAGCATGAGTGTTAGAATTTTAAACTGAGTTTCGATATAGATATAGATAGGTGAAAATTATAAGCACTATTATTAATATATGTGATTGAATGAAAATAAGAGAAAGAACAAATAGACCTATTTCAAATACAAGGCCGCTAAACGCAGAACAACCAGGGCCTCCTGTAGTCCTGTTAGCCATAGCAGCAAAGGATCTTCTTCTGCATTTCTTTCAGACTCAATGAAGTAGAAAAACAACTGCACCTCATCCGACTCACCTGCACAAATATACCTTAATTTTAAAAGAAAAAGAAAAATAATTTAGCATTATAAATGTTTATGGTGCTTACTAACTCTAAATTTCTAATAAAAGAACATAAAAAAAAAAAAAAAAATGTGCATTATAAATGGTTTATGGTGCTTACTAACTTCTTAAATTTCCAAATAAAAGAAAAAGAACAAAAAAAAAAAAAAAAAAATGTACTTACCCAGTTTCTAATTTGAAGGGAAGATCGCCATCAAACCCTGGAAGCGTTTTGATGATTCATTGTGAGAAACCAATCTTGGAGAGAAGCAGCAGAAGAATTACTTTTAGTCATTTAATGGTTTTTTTAAAGGACATTTAATGGAAAAAATATAAATTTAGAACGAAACCGTAGATATGTATTTATACATTTTAAAAAATATAGGGTCTGAATAGTTAATTTTACCCAACTAAAGGGATTGAAATAGTAATTTCACTACAAGAAAATAGACCAAGCCAACAGACTCCTGTCACTCCATGCGCTTGGGGCCCGTTTGGCATTTTTGTTGCAAAGTCGAGTCAGCTCTTTTTCCAAAATACTTTTAGTCACGTGTTTAGTTAAAATTTTAATTTAATTACTAATGATAAAAAAGAAAAAAATAACTATAAATATAAAAATAAATTACACCTAATAAATATAAGTAAAATTGAAAAAATTATGAATAAATTCTCAAAATTCCAAATAAACACCTACGGTGAAATAAAGTAAAATGACTTTTGTATTTATTAAATTTGAACTGAAAATATGCTTTTAATACAACATGTGAAAACTGAAAAGCAGCACCAAAAAAACACATTTAAAACTGTTGAATAGCATATTATAAAAACATATTATGTCTGTTCCATATTACTTATCCTATTTAAGAAAATAGTTTGTTCCAAAATACTTGAAGGAGTAATAAATCTTTTTTTCCATCTTTACTATTTATATATGACAAAAAATTATTATTTTAATTTAATGATTTTCTTAGAGAATTAATATTAAATTAAAGGTAATATAGTTAATTTACTCAATAATTTATTATAATTAAATAAATTTAATGATTTTTTAAAGAGATAATTTATTATAATTAAATAAATTTAATGATTTTTTAAAGAGACGTGAAATTTTAAATGTGATAAATATTACGAAGAGATATCTAAATTAAAGTATAGAAGACAAAAATTGAATATAATCCCAACTTCAAAGGCGATGAATGGTTGTCCCTAAACATCGTACGCCTCAGCCCAACAGCTGAAATAAGGACACGACCGGTCAGGTGCCCCACCGCAGCTCGAAAAATTTCTAAAATTTACTTTATAAATTAAATTCCGTTTATTTTTAAAGAAATATTTCCTTTAGAATATATTTTTCAAACAATTCATTTCTGTCTTTGGTTGTAATATTAAAAATATTAAAATTTTTAGAATATTTATAAAATATGAGAAAAATGAAAAAAAAAAATTATGGTTGTTTCCGGTTACTGATTGTCAGTAGATTAATAAATGTGTATTTATAAACTTTTTGCGAATTCACTCCTTAACCTGAAAAATGATTATGTTCATCTACTGTATTTTATTGTCTTCCTCTTGCATGAACGGTAGTTGGAACTTGGAAATTTATGGCATCTAACAGTCACTGAAAAAGAGCTAGGTAGATGCCGGAGTGAGTGAGTTAGTCAAACCTAAAATTAAAGGTGGGTGGGAACTGGGATCCTTAAAATCTTTTTGTTCTTTCTCAGTTTCCCTTCTGCCTTCTGGTGCCACATTTTCCATATGCTTTTGAAAGAGACTATTATTATGAACTATTAATTATTGGATATTTTTTATATTTTCAGGATTTAAAATTAAGGAGAATAAATTATTCAACACAAAAATTTAGGAACAAATAGTTAAAAAATGTAGTTAATTTCTTTGTTAATTTTTGGTTCGATCTTTGGATTTGTCAAAGAAAATTATTTATTTTCAAAAGCAAGAGAGGTATTGCCGGCCTTAATTATAAGGTGGCTTTTCCAGTTGATCTAATATACTTTATATATATCCAGTTGATCTAATATACTTTATATATATATATATACTATATATATAATATATATTAATATATATACCAATATGCATTGTTGTTTTACGCTTAGTTTGGGAGGATATTTTAGATAAAGGGTAAACTACAGTGGAAAAATGATAATTATTTCTGTGTTGGTATAAAAATAATTCTGTGCCGTTAGTATTAATCTTTTTAATTACAATCCATTTGATTAAATTTTAATATATACATATGCATGTTGTTTTACGCTTAGATTTGAGGGATATTTAGAATAAAGGGTAAAACTACAGTGGAAAATGATAATATTCTGTGTTGGTATAAAAATAATTCTGTGCCGTTAGATATTAATCTTTTAATTACAATCCATTTGATTAAATTTTAATACAATAACTTATTACCGACTGCACCCGAAAATAGAGAGAGATTATTCACAGATTGGTTTTGTCAATTTTGAAGAGGAACAAAGAAGCCATTACCATTATCTCAAAGGAAGAATGACGCCATTTAATGATTTTAGGCAACAGTCATCAACATTCTTCTTCAATATCTTTAGATCTTCAGCTGTGGCATTCTTTCTATCCTCTTATTTTGAACTGTATCAGATTGTAAATCAATTTTTCCTTGAGCTTTTATTGTCTTCTGACAAAATGGAAAGATGGGCGAGGAAGCTGCACAACCAGATTATTAATGTCTTGGATAATACACAGATTAGCTAAAAGCTCTATATGTTGTAATTCCTGTTGACCTTTCTTGTATATCGAATATATCTAACATGGTTTTGGAAAAAAAAAAATTTCTTTGAGCTTGTTTTTCAAATTTTGAAGACCAAACGAGATTAGTAACTAAAGTTTGTGTTATCAACAGTTGATGATATATGGAAAATCAATTTGAACATTTTTCCTTTTGAATTTGTGAGTGCCTTCCATTATTGGAGTTGACAAAATTAAATTAATACACTGAAATAATACAATTCTGCAAATAAATTAGAAGCCATCTAGTGGATTCCTTGAAGCAGCATTCTATTAGACAGGGTAACGAGCAAACCATCTATCAACCAAGGCTAGACATTCTGTGGGCTTGTATTCTGGAGCTGTGTGACCACCTCCCTGCACATAACACCACCCTTCTTTAATATGCACTAATGAAGCATTGACAAAACATTATTGTATAATCTTTATTTTGCCTAATTAGTTATATTTAATTACATTCATATTATTATTATTATTATTATTTCTTTGCACGTGTCTACATACTTAGATCAAGATCAGTATTCAGTTAAATCCTGGTAATGTTAACAGATTTTGAAAATATGGGTGCGTTCAAAGACAACTTGTTAGGTAGCTTATTTTACGAATCAAATGTTAAATAATATTTTTTTTATAGTGTTCGGTAATATAGCATTTGAACTATGAGGTTAAGGTAGAATTTTATAAAAAGTTAATCATGTAAATTTACTTTTTAGCGTTTTACAAAAAACTATTCAAATACTTAACAGCTACCAAAATAGCTCATTTTGCTGAACATACCCTACTAAAATTACAAGTAAAATTTACTTGGAGATACAATCTATTACGGAGTTTTATTGATATTTTTACTAACCTTTATTGTCGCATATGTCAACCGGAAGTGCTCATTCATAAACTTGGTTTGGTATCTGGAAAAGAATAACGAGTAGGCATTTATGTGTAAATTGGAACAAAGAACAGAAATTGAAGTTATAATATATAAACATATAAATCAGAAATAATTAATTAGATCTTACCCTGCAATTTGACCATCAACATACCAAGGCCTCCACTCATCAAAAACAGGTATTTCAAGAGACTTAATCCATTCTAGTGTACCCACATATGGAATAGATATGTCATGGTCTCCACTGCACCAGAAATTTTCCTTCAAGAAAGCTTTTATATCTCTTTATAAGAGGGCAATAAAAATAAAAATAAGCTCATTTACCTGTATACCAGAGCTCTTAGACCTGTTTTGGAAAGATTTTTATGAATATAAACACTACTCTGAACATTTTCTGTGTAGGTTGGGAATGATTTGAAGCACCTACTCCAAGTTTCTACTGTTCCCTAATGGAATCAAAAATTAAAAATTATTTAATTTACTCTATTAGTAACCAAAAATAGATCTCAATAGTTTAAATATAAATTTAAATAATTGTTTAAAAAAAATAATTTTAATGATGATAAAAATAATACCTCACGAACGCCGAGAGCGGTTTGAACTGTTTCATTATTCATATATTTGTACGAGAGTGCATAACCAAATTCCTAACATAGTGGAAAAATTCATTAATGTTAAAAGGATGAGAAATTAAAAAAATTAATAATTTAGCTCAAAAAATTATAGAAGAGAGAGAAAGTTTACCCGGCAGCGCAGCTCCGGAAGTTTATTAGCTTGAAGAGAATCAATAACCCTAGCTTCTTGAGATTTAATATCCCAATCTAGCTCAGTTGTTTTCTTGGATGAAAACGCACATTGAGGTTCTAAAATTTGTGTAAGTTTTATTTGTAATATGCACTGCAAAATGAAATATAGCATTTTAACTCTTCTTAACAGAATTTCAAGATACAATATATCATTAAAATGAATCCAATCGCATCGAACTTTTATAATTGGACTAGAGGCTTAGTAATCCATCTTTCAACCGACCTATTCACGAGTTCAGGTGTTCCGATAGAAAAATTAAATTTCGATAATTTTTCGAGCCAATCTGAGTTGGATTCAGACTTTGCTCACAATGAAGCTGATTTGAGGTAATAAGTCGGGTAGTCATCGGTTCGGGTTGGGCTGCCCTAGCCCGAGCCAATCCGGACAAAAATTTTCAAATTTTTACCAACTTCTCTAACCTGTTTGATGTTCTGAAGAGCTGTGACACATAATGTGTTGTTTGAGTCTACATTCAGGTAGTCACCGTTGCAATACAATTTGGCGTTCTACAAAAAGCAGAACAAGGATACAAAATGAGAAGAGAAATGGGAAGCAATGGAAGATAATAAAATTATGTGAATAAAAAATAAAAATAATTGGAATAACCTCATAATATTCATCTGATATAAGTGAAACTCTGTGGATAAATGGTATTCTTGAATTATCATCAATGTAATAGTCTGTTACTGGATTGCCTAGCAAGTATCCCTGCTCCAAAACAGAGTGCATATATTATAAGATTCCTAATTAAATAATTAAATTAAAATTATATTATTAAATAGATTATATACTTGGAGATCAATACTTGGCTTCAGCCCACTTTCAATTCCTGCAATGCATTAATATAACACACTATAAGTATATAATTGGTTGGAAATTTAATTGTAAATAATTAAATTTTTCATTAATATTAATTTGATATGTTGTTATCGCAAAATCTCTAAAATAATTAAACAATAGTATCATATTATTTTTTCAAACATCTTAAATTATATTTTTGTAAAAAAAGTAGATTTCAACCTCAAAATCACAAATAGTTTCTTGGTTCTGTAATAATTTTTTAACAGAAAAAATTATTAAAAACGAATATTAATGCAAGATTAGTACTATAATCTTTTGTATTATGAGACACTTACCCTCCAGTATATTTTGCACTACGAGTGGAACAACTATGCCTGAATATGAATCTCCACCAATATAAACTTGGCTTCCAAGAAACTTGGGGTGACTCACTAGCCACTGTGCCACAATGCAAACATAAAAATTGGAAAGGAAACAATGAATAGTTACCTAAATTATTATTTTTCATATAATCGAATCAGTAAAATTTAATTATTTCAATAAAATAAAAATTAGTTTTTTCAGTTATCGATTCGACTAGTTCAGTAATAGTAAATATTTAAACTAACCCTTCTGAGGAAATTATAGGTCTGGAATGCTGATAATGTATCTGAGGTATTACGACCCTCTGCAGTTGTTGCATAAGAAAATCCAGCTCCAACTGGTGCATCTATGAATATGATGCTGGCAACCTGAATTTTATTACCATTACAGCAAATATTAATAAAATAACAATAGAATTAATTTTATTATCTAAAAAATAATTAGATAAATTCAGTTTTATTTGATATTTTTTAATGTTAAAAAGTGTACCTTGGTCCAAGAATAAGGGTTCAACTTAAGAGATGGTAAGCCCCCGCTGTACGTATCACGAGCAATAGCTAATGGACCTGTTATTAAGATGCTTTAAAACAAATCCAGAACAAAAGTGGGCCATTTGATACACACATTTATATTTATTTACTTCATTCAATTATATTAACTTCAAATACTTACTTCTCAAAAAATGTATGTATTGTCCTCAGAGAAATTTGCTATTGAACGTACCATTTTCAAAAGCTATTGCAGAGAAACCAGAACAGCCAGGACCTCCAGTAAGCCAAAGCACAAGAGGATCATAAATGGGGTCTCTTTCTGACTCAAAGAAGTAATAGAATAGTTCCACATCCTGCATTTCTCCTACACTAATATATCTACAATATGCCAAAAATACCAAATATCATTCATATATTATATAAACATATTCATTTCCATAACCAAATTCCAAATATATATATATATTTACCCAGTTTCCATTTTAAAGGGAAGCTTTCCAGGAAAGCCAGGAAGAGTCTCGATAATCGTCTGAGAAGCAGCAAAGTAAGACAAAACAAGCAGAAGAAGTATAATCTTGCACATTCTCTCCAATGCCTGAAGTTGGAAAGCCATAGGCTTTTCTTTGCTTGGTTCCAATTCTTTTTTGAGATAGTATTAATTAGAAGAAGCAGGTTTTATGAATTGGATTGCATAGGTCATTCTACCAATTGAGCAATGAAATTCAGGTACATCAAGCTGTTATAAGGCTACCTTACTTTCAAATTCTAGAAATGAAACCCAACAAACATTCTAGTAATTAAACAAAGTAAAATGTATGAAAGGAAGCTGGTATCTTTTTTTCATGTGATTATTGATCAATACACATGCTTTATCAATTTTCAAATGTGTTTTTTTGGTTGACATATTTTAATTTATAAACGAAATTTAATTTATTTTAATGATTACTGATATTCAATTCCTAAATATTCATTTTTTTATTGAATTATATAATATATACATGATTCATGTCTGAGAATTTTTTATTATTTTATGTTAATATATTGCAATTACATAATATTATATATGAATTAAGTTTTACTATCAAATAATAACATTAAAGCACACTGTAAATAAGTTTGAAAGAAATATACATAAATAATAAAATTTTAAACGGATTCCAATTTGAATACTTAAATGGATTTAGCACGCGCAAAAATGCTACCATTCTAATAAATTTGAATATCTCAAAATTGACCATAAATGAAAAATTAGTGTAGTCTGAGTCGTTTGAAGGTGAGTTACAACTAAATTCCCATTCAAAAATTCAAAGTTGTCAAAATTCAGAAGCAGACAAAGATGTCTGGCGGCATTATGGTAAGATCCCCATCAGGAAATATTATACTCCGGAAAGAGGCCAAGATGTCAAAATTCCAATGCATATTATATTTCCCATTTGTACTTTACTGTCATATCTTATTATTGCTAATCTCTGTATTTGATGGAGATCTCAAAATATGGAACCACCGGTAGTAAAACTGCAACAACTAATGTTCTATTCCTGTTTTCCTTGTTCAGTAGCCATTAATGATGTGGAATAGGTAACAAGTTTTGTAATAATTCAAGTAATAAGGATTCTTAGCCTTTCCTTTGAATCCCAATCACATAGTTTAACTTTTTAATTTTTATAAAATATCTTATATGCCCTTATGCTCTTTTTTCCATCTATCTCAATAATTTTATTATTATTATTGTTTTGATCTTTTTATTAATTTTTCATTTCATTTCTTCCATTATTATATCAACGAAACACTTGAATGAAATTTGAATTTCTATTCTGCGTGCATACAAAATATAAAAATAAAAATTTTATTTTATATTTCATTTTATTCAATTCCCTATTATATTCTTTACCTCATATTAAAGATAGTGTCGGCTTAAATACAAGATAGATCGAAGTTTGGCACAACAACTATTTTCACTGAGATTGAAATTGGGTGCTAATTGAAATACAATTTGATCTATAGAGATTTTGAACTTTCAATTTAGATTAGTCCATGTAAAATTCTAATTGAAAATAGAGCTTACTTTATAAGAATTTCGACTATAATGATTCAAATATTCTCTACAAATTTATAAATTTAAATTTTATTGAAAATTACAAAGAAGAATATTCTTAAAAGGTTGGAAATGAAAATTCTAAAATTATTTTCCAATGAAATAAAAATAGTCCTATCTTTATCTCAAAATTAAAAGTCTTATAATATTTGAATTTATAAATATTAGAAACAGGTGATATTGATTTAAAGATATAGACTTAAAAGAAAGAAGGGTTGGACGAAATTGAAATTGCATTAAAAGTACAGCGTACATAAAAAAGAAAAAAGAATTATTATTAAAAGTTTTTTTTTTTTTTTTTTGAGAGTGATTATTATTAGAAGTTAAAAGAAGATAAAATACATGAATTAAAAAGAAATTAAATACTAAAATATATAATCGAACCAAATTAAACCATTTAATTTGACCAAATCAATTATGCACAACCCCAATATCTGAGATGCAAAATCAATTAAGATAGAGCCGATTATTTTCGAACATAATTAACTTTTGGAAATTTTTTGCAGTGAAACCAAAAAATTCTAATAATTGGTTGCAAAATCGAGAATTAGATAAAAAAAATTATTAAAATTTTAACTTGATTCACCATAACAATATTTAAAAATTATATAAATTTACATTTAAAAATTTATTATTTAATATGAAAAATATTAAAGGGGGTTAATTGTAGTAGTTGCTACCAACTGATGATGTTGACAATATTAAACAGTGATTACAGTGATTAGTGGTGGGTCCCTGTTGATTAGCAGTAATTGACACGGTGACTCTGTGATCAATGAATTAATATTAATGTTAGTAGTGCTACCAACTTTGATGATGTGACAAATATTAAACAGTTGGATTACAGTTGATTAGTGGTGGGTTCCCTGTTGATTTAGCAGTAATTGACACGGTGACTCTGTGAATCAATGGAATTAATACTATATATATATATATAATATATATATATAATATATTATATATTCATATATAATATTATATATATATATATATAAAAGCTTTTTATGTATAGAAAATACTACTCCTTTTAACAAAAAAGTCATTTTTTAAAAAAATGATTCAATTCTTTTTACTCAAAAAAATGTTTCCTCAACTAATTTTTCTAAGTACATCAAATAACAAAAACTCAGAAAAATATATTTCAGATAAATTATCTTCTAGAAAGAACTACATCTTTGGCAAAAAGTTACTTTTTTTATATCAAGGTTTTGTCCCCCTTTTATGAAGGGTAATTTGAGATGTAATTTCATTGGATAGACTCAAAACAACAAGCATAAAGCTTTCTTGGATAACATAACATTAAAGAAAGGAATTTCATTTCTAAAAAGAAAAAAATTTCTATTTCATTGGTTAAATAATAAAATTTAAGTTATGTTCGACAAGAGCGTTTAGAGTATTGTTTAGTATTTTGATTGAGTTAAAATATTATTTTGATTCATTACTGTGTTAGGTAATGTCACATCTATCCTAACATAGAGTTTGAGGCAGTATTTTCATAAAATGTTTACCTCTGTCACGACCCATTTCCATGGGCCGGACCGGCACTAGGGCCCAGGTAAGCTTAAGGCCCCCGAGGCCCGTAGCAAGCCTGAAACACTACAAATTTGCAATTTGCTATCTCAGCTAAAATTTTTTAAACATTTACAAATTCCCTGCTTACAATACACTATAAGTTATAATTACAAGCTTCACAGAATTATTCCATCTATAAATAATACACAACTTTAAAAGTATACAAGAGTTCTATAACTGCGGGAGTTACTGACGGATGTATTACATTATAAGTCTTCGGACATTCTCTATTTAATTGATCTATTTAATTGATCAATACTAAAATTAGTGAATTTCTTTTTTAACGGTGAAGAGCAGAGTTATAGCTGGGATTTAGAAAATGCTACTTCCTGAAAGATTTGAACAAAAGAGATGTGAGAGTTTATTAATGAATCATAATTATTGCACAACACACGCATTCACACAATTGTATAAATATATCAACCTAGTCATCCGACTAAGTATATGCTCACACAGTCAGTCACACAAATGGCATATCACCAGCACTCACAATTATTAACATCTTCATATAATCACATCACGTGGAAATTAATCAGTGGTTGGAGTCACCGAACCCCCACGATTGAGCCGTCCTCCCGCATGGCTCATCCTCTCACATTGCACCAGGGAGCCGCATCCCCCATTACTGGCGACCGGTCTAATCCTCACTTGACCAGCCCTCTCATTTTTCTTTCCCATTCTCTCCTTTTCTTTTCCATACCAACAGGAGGCAACCCCGGTCGGTCTCCATCAAATCTAGATCATCAGGCGCTCACAAACAGGAGGCCACCCTGCGGGCTGCGATTCAAATCTAGATTATCCGGTGCGCCAATAAAAGAAGCCAACCTTGTTGGTAAACAGTAACGGTAACAGTAGGTTGCACAACGGGGGCGCCGATCTCCATTTACCCGGCTAACAGAAACAGAATCAGGAAATCCATATAACAGGAAATCAGAATCAGGATCCGGTTATTAACAGAAACAGTCTCACAAACCCATAGTGGACCCACTTCATCCCAATCCACACAAACAAAGTACAGGCAATATCACAAACACAATAAAACAAACATTGCATTCAAATTTCAGGACATATATTCAATTAGACATCGTTAATGCAATGCACAATTTAAACATCCAAAATCAATGCAACTAAATAAATTAGGTATTAGCAATTAACAACAATAATAAAAATAAATAAATTGGATATGTAAATAGTTAAATGAATAATAAAGGATTATAAACAACCAGAGCACTATATTTTATTTATTGTACCAAATTATAGAACTAATCTAAATAAACTTATTAATTATTTGTTGTTAATTAAAATTTTAAGTCTATTTCTTATCAAAATAAATTTTCGGCAGCATCTCCCCTAAAAATAGGACTATCTACCTTGTTTAAAAATATCACAATGATATTATATATTAACATTCAATGCACACAGCACAGCCCATCCGTCGGGCGATCAAACAGTTAAATTTCCCTTCCTCCATCCAAATAATAATGTCAACATTCAACTATTAATTCACAACTTATAATAAACTTCAAACATATCCCAATAATATTATTGAACATTCTTTGCTTCACATAAATATAATCAGCGTCTTTAGCTAATTGACAAATAAATGAAATCTTTCATACATATACATATAAACAGAAGTTATACCATTAAGTTAATTAGCTTCAAACTATTATAAAACTCCTTATTAAACCTTTATTTCATCATCCTTACTTAAGGTATAAACAACATCTTTAAACATTTACTAAAATTCTAAACTAGCCACTACTAAAATTCTAAACTAGCTACTAAGAACCAATGCTTCAATTAAATTACAATTTCATAAATCCTTCTATTAGGTAACCCAACTCACAACTTGAACGTATAACTAAAGCTTCCTAAATTTCCTTCATCTTGCCACGAAAAATACAATTTCTAGATTATAGTAAATTATGTTTACCATCGAATCGTTACCTAACAAGATTGAAGCTATAGAGCATTAACCAATGGTATCCATCACAGAAATATTGAGAATATATCCATTTCTAGGTTAGTTCATATAAAAATGGCAACGATTACCTGCAATAGCTACTCCCCACCAAATGCAATAGGTTCTCCTTAACTTAGACTTATACATATATACACAAATTTCACTCATTTCCCATCAAAACATTCACAAATTTCACTCATTTCCCATCAAAACTTAGATTCTTAACATCCTATAATCCATATCAAGCAATGGTTTATAGAAATAATGAGAAATAGCTGCTGCCATTTTAAAATTGCTCTAATTTATTATATAGAATATGCAGCAAATACATTAGCCTACACATACTTTTAAAAATTTCAGTCTGCAGCTCATTTGGAATGATAAAAGTTTAAGATTTCCTTCCTATCATAGTGAAAACTCAAGCAAATAACCATTAAACTGCTGCCATCTTTAAAGGCTTATCAATTCCTCTAACAAATTGTGTAATTGGAATATGTGTGCACTGCTATCTATTTTGTAATAAGAATAGTTTAAACATTAAAGCGGGAAAGGGACTTGGGGTTTCAAATCTTGGGTCTCTTGCACTGCTATTTCAAGTACGCCTTACCCGAGTATTCTTTTTTATTTTTTTATTTTTTGTAGGATCAAGTTCTTTTTCTTGTTGGTATGTACTGAAAAAAGAATTTATTTTTAAAAGCAATAATGAAAAGCAATAATGAAAAGCAACGATTTTATCTCAGCACTATATTGTCAATAACGTAATTAACTTTATATATTAGAAGCAAATATCATTTGTTTTTTATTTTTATTTTTATTTTTTATTTTTGGGTTCTTTTGCATTTGAGCAAAATAAGGTTATTGTCAAAATTTTTCATCAGATTGTAAAGTTGCGATATTGATAAGATTTTTTATGTAAACAGGACTAGGCACAAATTGATTTTTTTTTTTTTTTTTTGACATTCAAATTGAAAAGTTATACCAAGAAGAAATATGAAATAAGGCTGGATTTACTCCATCAACTTGGCCGCAATATGCAATTTGCCGAAAATTAACTGTTTGTACTATTTACCTCTTGAGCTTGCACTAAAAATACAAAATGTTCAAAAACAAATTGTTTGATATAAATCAAATATGATTAAAAAGTAATTAAATATTTGATCTACATTAAATATAATTAAAATAAATAATCAAATAAAAAATAATAAATATTTTTCTAACCAAATATCTCAATATAATCAAATCTTGTTCTCATTCTATAGTTTTTCTAAATCAAATACTGTAAAATTTTATAATTATTATTATATTTTAATGGTTTACGGGTCTAGTTTAGCAATTAATAAAATATAGCTTGAGTGTATAATAAAATACTAGCTGGTGTAATCTTATTGGTTGAAATAAAAATTTTATTTTTTTAAATGAAAATTCTACGAAATTAAATTTTCGGGTCGTTTCAACCTCATTAACGTTTAGCGTTTTATAAATTTTTTATCAAGGTTTATGTCCATCACTTGTCTTTGTCTTGATATATATAACATTATCATTTTTTCTCTTTTTATATTAATCAGTTAATCAAACACTTATTTTTACCAAACACTTTTATTTTAAATCGCTATATAAATAACTAACCACTAACAATTAATATCTATTCACTAATGCCTAATAAAACAGCTAACAATTACTATAACAGCTAACATTTATTAGAACCGTTGAAATTGACGAACAGCCCCTTAATAATATTATTTCCTTATTAAGATTATAAAATTATTTAATTTTCTCAAACAGCTTTTTAACAGCATCTCAATTACATAAGCCAGTATGACAAGATTACAAAATTTAATAGATGAAGTTGGTACCAATACCATCAATCGAATTGAAATTAAAAATATTATAATTTCCTGGTCTAGATAGGGTAATAATGAATAAATCTATCAAACATGTCATAACATTCCCTGCGCTTGTACTCTTGAGGAGAGTGACCTGCTCCCTGCACGTCATAAATCATTGCAATTAGCTTTTAAAAAATAAATTGCATTTAATTATAATTTTATACATGTAATTGAATATTAATTATTAAACTTACTATTTAATTATTAATTAATCAATTTAGTTCTAAAAAAAATTGTCCAATTAAAAAATATCTGTATACTTACCTTCACAGTTGCATACGTCAAGCGATATCCATTTTCGGAGTATTTAATTGTGTACCTGCGTAAAAATTTATATGTATTATTGAAAATTAAAATTGGAATTTTGAATTAGAACTAACTTTTTTTTTTTTTTTTTTAGTTTCTAACTTTTTTTTTTTTTTTTTTTAGGGGAAAGGGTTCTTAACTTTTTTTTTTTTTTTTTTAGGAAGGGTTCTTACCCTGCAACCTGACCATCAACAAGCCAGGGTCTCCAATCATTAACAATAGTCAGGTTTAGTTCCTTAATCCATTGCTGGGTCCCCACATTTGGTATTGTGAAGTCATGATCTCCACTATTAATTAAGATTAAACAAATTTAATTAGTTCTGTCTTGTAATTAAGAATTAAAAATTTGATTATATTCTTTTCTTTAAGAATATATATATAGAAAAAGAAAAATCATGACGTACTTGTATACAAGAGCTTGTAATCCCTTTGTAGTAAAATTCCGATGGTAAGAAATAACACTGGTGACATCATAGTCATAATCCAAGGATTTGTTACATCTCTTCCAATCTCGTACTGTTTTCTGATTACAAATAAGTATTTTACATTACAAAAATTAAAAATGCTACGAATTTAAGTAAACTTGAAAAATAAAAATTAAAAATACAGTTTGGTTTCATTAAATTAAACTTTTAAATTAAAATTTTAACCGATACCCATTCGATAAAATGAGCTGTTTTGATAGTTTTTAACTGTTTTAATAGTTAAAATGCCAAAAATTATTTAAAAACCTGTTGCCGAACAGGGTGAAAATACAGTTTGATTTTATTTTTTCAATTTAATTATTTAAGTAAACTTTAATTTTTTTTTTTTTTTTAAATTCCAATCAATTAGACTAGAAGACCAAGAGCACTGCTTAATGTAAGTACGCTTTGAGTCACATACCCGTCGGACATTAAGAGCAGATTGCACACTTTCATCATTTGCCCACACATAGGATAAAGAATAATTGAAATTCTGCAAAATTATTGATAAAAATTATAAGTTCAATTTAGAAAATTTAAGAAATTAAAAGAATAGGGCAAAAAGAAAAAAAAAAATGTTACTTACATGACACCATTTTTCTGAACTTCTAACAGGAGACATAATCAAATCTACAGAACTTCCCCTGAGTGATCTTCGAGCCGATTCTTGAACCGGATCAGGAGATGCATAAGTGCATTTAGGCTCCAAAATATCATTCTTGTTTATATCCTTATAGCACTGCAAGTTTAATTAGAAGTTTATTAGTACTAATTAACCTATTTTTTCAAAAATCAAATTAATAACCAATAATCACCTTCTTGATCAATTTGAGATACTCATAGCATGCTGCATCTGATGAGGTTACTCCATAGTAATCTGAATCACAAGCATTTTTGGCTGCCTGTACGAATATTTACCATAATGAAATAGAAAAAGAAAAACTGTTCTTAATTAACTTGTAATTAACTTAAAATCGCCAAGTGGAAATTGTTAATCACCTTGTAAAGTTCATCAGATATAAGTGCCATCCTGTGAGCAAATATTATCTTTGAATTTTCTTGAATTTGCCCATCTATTCTTGGGCATCCAAGAATGTAACCCTGAAATCATTTCAAATATATAAGTTAAACTCAAATTATCAGGAGTTATATATTTCGTTTGGGACATTGAAATTCTATAATCATGCACCTTCAGGTTCAAATGTGGTTCTTGTCCATAGCCATTTCCTGAAATTCAGAACCCAAAATTGAAGTTTTGAGTACATATTTTGAAAATTGTTATACCAGTAATTTTATTCATCTGGTATTCTGGTTAGGCTGTTCTTTACTCACCATCTAAAATATGTTGTACTGCCAATGTAGCTGATATGCCTGAATAAGAATCAGCCCCAACAAATAATTGGAGTTTGAGATATTGTGGATGATCCATGAACCACTGAACCATTACACAAAATCAAAAGTATCAAACAATAATTGATGCTTTAGGGCTAATCGGGCAAAATTAGCTATTTTAATGGCATAATTAACTATTTTAGTGTCATTTGAGTAACTTTTCATTAAATATTAAAAAATAATGTTTTTTAAAATTCTACCTTAATCTCTACAAACTAATTCAAACGCTATTTATTGCATACTATAAAAAATAATGGTTAAAATGCTAAAATCTATCCAAAAAGTTGCTGCCGAACATAACTTTACTATAAACACAATAAAATATATTTACGAGTGAATATAAGACTTTTGATTAATTGATGGTTCTTACTCGATTTCTACTTTGATGAATTTTTAAAATTTATCTGATTCAATTAAATTAAACTCATCTTAACAAATAGTTTTAGTTATTAATTTTTTTAGCTAATTCAGTTTTGAAAATCATCTTCATTAAAGATATTTGTAAGATATAAAAAAGAAATTTTAATCTCACATTTTTGAGGAACTCATAGACTTGTTCTCCTGTTACTGTGTCAGACATAGCCCAACCATCTTCAGTTGTTGCATAGGAAAAACCAGTGCCAACTGGAGCATCAACAAATAATATGCTTGCTGTCTGTTTAATAATACATTAATTAATATTTGATAACAAATTTAATTATTGACAAACAAAAAACATAGCATAACATTAACATGTACCTTTGTCCATGAATATGGGTAATAGGACAATGATGGCAAGCCTCCTTCATAGTCTGAAATATTAAACTCTAGTGGACCTACACATTTTTACAAAGGTTTTTAATGTCATTTACCTATTTAAATTATTTTACTATTTTGTAAAAGTTTGTAATTTATTAATAAAATATTTATTTTGTAATTTGTATAATAAAATTCAATTTTTAATTTTTTAATGTTTATAAAGTTAGTTTGATGTTAAATGCATAAAAAAATTGGAATTTGATTTTCTCCCACTACTAAAAAAGCATTTTAACTTTTTCTCTGAAATGAAAAGACTTCAATTTTTTTTTTTTTTTGGCTTCTTGAAATGAAAAGACTTCAATTTGTTTTTTTTTTGGCTTGTATAAAATTTTTTTTTTTTTTTGGCTTGTATATGGTGAATATTTAAATTAAAAATTAAAAAAAAAATTACCTATTTCATAAATTAAACCATTGAATGCAGAGCAACCAGGGCCCCCACTGTACCAAAGCAAAAGAGGATCCTCTTTGGGGTTCCCTTCTGATTCTATGAAATAGTAGAACATTTCTGATGACCCCACAGTTACATACCTAGAATTGAAAGGGAGAAAAAAAAAAGAATATTTAATATAATAAATCCCAAATTAATGTTCTAAAATTAAAATAGAAAAAGGTACTACATTTAGTTGAAAATTTTGCTTCACTATTAAATAAATATTAACAGATTTAATTTTCACATATCATATTTAAATTTACTTGTCACGTTTAATAAAAGAAATAAATAAATAGATAATTACCCGGTTTCGAGTGTGAAGGGAAGTTCACCATCAAATCCTGGTAGATACTTGACAATGGTGGCACAGAAAGCAGCATTTGCAGAGAAAAGTAATAGAAAGACCAATTGGAGACATCCCCAGTTCAGGTTACCGGTGCCTGAAGTGGATGTCATTTCTCAGAATTTCTACTGAGTTCTATAACTTGCAAATTTGCATATGTTTTCAGGCGTTTTATAATATGGACAGAGCACAGAATGGGGGGAGATTAGTGACAAATATTATTTCTCACAAGATTGGGTAAAGTTTTTAAAATCTAGAACTCTTGTTATACCGGAATTTTGGACTTTGAAAAGCGGTTGATGATGAATAGATGGAGAAATTCTATTTTGTTTTATTATAGATTTGAATAGAGGTTATCTAATATTTTAATTAGTACTATTGGAGAAGAATATTATTCTAATTGTATTAACATAAGAAGAAAGTTAGGTAGCAAACGGACATTTTTATATGTTTTTATTTATATATTTCAACAAATATTTACATATTCTTTTTAAATACGAGATAATCTCTTTTTAGATAATATAAATACGAGATAATCTCTTTTCAAGATCGTGGTATTTTTTTTTTTATAATCTCTTTCTATAATATTTTTTCTATGAATTAAATATCTGACATTATAGAGATTGTTCGTGTATGTATATACATTATATTTGTTAGATTTTACATAGTAAATTGATTAAGGTCAAACTGACCCTGTGCATAATCTATGTAATATCCTAAATATTTCCAAATTTTAATATGAATTTTCAAAAATTATATTTTGCATCAGTTTACAGATTTCTCAGATTCAAAAAGTATTTGATGAATTTTCAAAGTTATTAGAAATTAAAAAGAAAAGAAAAAGAAATAGGGGTCAAACGATATATCGTTTTGCTATATGATAAAGTAGTTTGCAGTTTGCACAAACAAAATCATGCTGTTTTTCAATTTATTTTGTAACTCAAAAAGTTTGTTTCTTTTTTAAATTTTAGCACTATTTTTTAAATACTAATCAAGAAAAAAAAAAACAATGAAAAAAGTATTTAGTTTTAGACTGAGAACACCAGTTATATTTCCGATATCACCCCTTTTTTTTCTTTGTAACTTAATGGAAAATTTTTATTCAATTTTAAATTTCACCTAATAATAATAAACTGGAGATCAAGCTCATTCTGATTTATCTCCATTCTAATTATTTAATTTTTATATCATTTTTTATATTATAATAGTAAGTTATAAATAATAAATACTAAAGAAATACTATTTATGGATTGTGACTCAATTGACAACGCAAATTGAGTATGTGAAAAGAGTTTTCGGATTCGATTCCAATTAAATGTATATGTATAGAAGAGCAAGGAGTATGCTTATCTGTGTGACTGTATTATTTATTATTCATCATTCCATGTTACCATTAATTGTGCAAAAAAAATTAACATTAAATAATTAAATTTTTTTCTACAATTTTGAAAATTTTTACATATGAAAAATTAGAAGAAGTAATAAATAAAACAAGCCCATATATGCAAGTGTGCTCTACATTTATATTAAATTAGTCGTCTTCCTACGCTTCACATGCGGATATTATATAATGTTTAAAAATAAAAATACTATTTTTATTATAACAAATAATCACTTTCAATAATTCAAAAATCAAATATATTATACTTACTTATTCCCAAAGAAATAAAATAAAAGGATTCTTGCAAAAGGATCAATATATTAAAATATACATACAAAAATCAAGTTTATAATTAATCTTGAATTTTTTATTTTTTAGAAATATTTTAGCAGGTTTTAAAATAATTTTTATAAATATCAATTATTGAATTCATTTTGAATAAATAGTCTAAAATATTGGCATAAATCCAATAAAGATTAAAAACATAAAAAAAACTTTCATTAAAATTTGCCTTGATTTGAAATAAGTCGAAAAATATTGTTTGTCTTCATAAAAAAAAATACATATCAATTTAATTATACTTTAATTGATCATCGAGAGCTGAATATACATTTTAATCTAATCTCATCATCATCACCATATTGATCAAGTTCAAATTTATTAAATGCTGTGAAAACAGTCTTGTATTGTTTGCAAGGAATCTTTTTTTTATTTTTTTGAAAGTATGATGTGATTTTTTTTTTTTTATGGTTTCATTTATATTAAAATAGATGTTTATACAAATTCCGTAAAAATAGGAAGGAAAAAAAAGAGAAATGAAAGAGAAAATATTAATAACACTGTTAATTATTTATAAAAAGAAGGCGAAAAGTTTTAGAATATTAATGATATTATTAATTTTATTAATTATTTAAAAATTAAAAATATTAATGATATTAATTAAATTTAAAATTAAAAATATTATGATATTAATTAAATTATCTGTAAATAATTATTAAAAATTAATTTTTTAAAATTATAAAAAATTATTTTCTAATCAATAAATAACAGTGCTATAAAAGCACTTTAATGAATACTCTAAAATTAAAAATATTAATGATATTAATTAAATTATCTGTAAATAATATTAAAAATAATTTTTTAAAATATAAAAATTATTTCTAACTCAATAAATTAACATTGCTATAAAAGCAACTTAATTAATACTCTAAAATGATGCCAGATAAGCTTTTAAGACTCAAATTTTATATATTTATACATGTATATTTATAAAGATGGATCACTATTGTGTGCTCTACATTCATATTTAGTGTCCCGGTCGCGAATAACTAATGCTTGTTGAAGGGAAAACACAGCCACATATGCCTATTGTGTGGTCTACATTGACATTATCCTAATTTTATCGCTAAAGAGTAATTTAGTCATTCAAAAATAATTTGATTTCCCTAATTAAATAAAAAATTTAGTTTTTGAAATGTAATTATCTAAATTAATTTTATATGATATGTGTTTAATGGGTTAATCTAAATAAGTATAATCATAAAAGAAATATATTGACTTTATATATTTTTTCGATTTTATTTTTAATTCATATATTTATTTTATTTTATATAATACAAGGATAAAACAAAAAAGAAAAAAAATAAAATAAAAAGAATTATTGAATAACATTAATTTCAATTTCCAGATGGATGTAAATAATCAATGTAGAATAATCTAATAATAATATTAATAACCATTATATTTTTTATAATTTTCTCCGATGTCTCTCATATATATATTTTTTAAATAAAAAAATGGAGGTTGTTAAACGCTGATTAATAAACTATTGGTCAAATGGCTATTACTAGAGCAGCTTCAATAAGAATTTGGCCGTTGGAGAGGGAACAATAGGCATTGGAATACCTAAGGATCTGCCAATAGCCTCATTGGCTAAACAATCTGCCACCATATTACCTTCACTATAAACCTTAACCAACTGTGCCTGCCTTATTTTCTGGAGCAACCTATAACAATCAGCAAGCAAACTGTTCCATGTTGCTGAACCCAGATAATTTTCTCAAATACCTCATATATAATTTCTTTAAAAAATTATAAATTCCGTAATTATAAATATGGAGTTGACATGTTCAAATCTTGCATTTCTAACATGTTCAGGGATACAAAAACGTTATCATAACATTAATAGGAATAATTAATATAAAGGATATTCCATTCCAAAATTTTAAACTAAAGGATAAATATTTTCAGAGAGGATAATAATGAATCCATCGGTGAAACATGTCAAAACATTCCTTGCGTTTGAACTCCTGTGGTGAGTGTCCAGCTCCCTGCATACAATTTAGTATTTGGAAAAAGAAAAAAAAATACTTAATTCACATTAAAAAAAAAAAAAGAAAATTATAAAAAATGAGATTCTTTTTATTTTCTTGCCTTCACAGTTGCATATGTCAAACGGTATCCAGTATTTGTATATTTCCTTGTGTACCTGGAAAATATAATCAAGAATGAAATTTAATCTATTAATTTTTATTTTGATCAAACTGTAATAAAATGTAACGTAATGAAATGTCTTTGATTATATTAATTTACGTTTTATTACCATTCGCCGAATATAACGAATTAACTTACCCTGCAACTTGACCGTCAACGAACCATGGTCGCCAATCGGTGTCGATTGTCAAATCTAGAGAAGTTATCCATTGTTCAATGCCGTTATGAGGCATAACCATGTCATGATCACCGCTACACCATCAAAGAACAAAAGATTTTCAGAAGTGTCCTATCAAGGAATATATATCACTCATTCTTGACAGGCAAAAGAAAAAGTAACAATGAATTATATATATAAATAACAACATTGAGAAATGTGAAAGAAATGACCTGAAGACCAAAACTTGTAAGCCTGTTTTGGTCAGATTCTTATGATAAGGAATAACTGTGTCCATATCAACTGTGTAGCCCAATGAAATGTTGCATCTATGAAATTCTGGGATCATTGCCTAGTTCAAAAGAAGAATAATCAATAACTTGGGGATGTAGCTCAGATGGTAGAGCGCTCGCTTAGCATGCGAGAGGTATGGGGATCGATTTCCCGCATCTCCATGTAGATTTATAATTTTTTTTACCTGGCGAACTTTCAAGGCAGCTTGGACGCTTCTATAATTCGTCCATATATCAGAAAGCAAATATGGGAAGTTCTGAAAGAAATCAAATAGAGATTAAAAAAAATGTCATATATATATATATATATATATATATTAAAAAAAGGAAACTTACATGGCAATAAAGCTCGCCAAGAGTAGGCAATGGTCGGATGAAGTTTCTTCTCATTGCTCGGAGAGATCTTCGAACCATTTTTTCCTTCTCCTTTGGTGATAACAGAGCACAATTTGGGTCCAAAATGTTTTGGCGATTTATTAACTCTACGCACTAGAAAACAGAACCAAAATAGAGTGCATTATTTATGTGCGTTCGATTGGAGACTTGTAGACAAGGACGAAACTAGACTTTAGATATTTCGGGTAATAAAAATATAAAGAAAGCTACATTTTGAGACCAATATATATGTTTTTTGAAAAGAAAATATTTAAGGGAGAAAAATTAAATTTTGAGAAATTTCTGTCGACGACACGTGGGTAGTTCCGCCCTTGCTATTTTAATGAAAGTGTAAATAAAATTTGTAATCCTTCAAACCTCAGTTATAGCATCAAGAGACTCTACACATTCTGTGTTTGCTGAATCAACATCCGCATAGGATCCATTGCAACTGATTTTAGCTGACTGAAAGAATTAATATATATTTAAAAAATAAAAAATCATTAAGCTTCTCTTTTAGAAAATAAAAAATGAGAGCTATCAAAATATAGTAAATTTCTTAACTCTGTTACTTGATTAAATATTCAAAGTAAGCACTCAGATCATTGAATTAAAAAATAACAAGTGGATAATCACCTCATACATATAATCCGATATGAGAGCTAAACGATGAGCAAATGGTATTTTTGCATTTGTTTCAGCAATGGTATCAGTATGTGGGCATCCAAGAGATAAACCCTAAGAGATTGATTCAAAATAAATAAATCGACAATTTGAAAAATAACTTTTTAAAAAATGAAAGCTCTAAATTATAAATCGGAAAGTGATTTGTACTTTGAGATTCACAAATGGCTCAAGTCCTGCTGTATTGCCTGCAAGTTGAATAGCACAATAGCAAGAGCTTTAAGTAGTTTTCTTCCATTATAAGAAGGACTAAAGTGTCAAGTATGAAAAATTTATGGATGTTATAGTAATTTACCCAAAAACAGTTCATGATCAATTTTACCTTTTATTATATCAAGAGCAAGTATAGGAAGAACAATTCCTGCATATGAATCACTACCAAGATAGACTGGATTTGTTCGAAATGCCGGGTGATCGATCAACCACTGTATCGTATTTCAAAAAATAAACGGATGAAAAAACTAAATAAAAGAGGCAAAAATTATGCCAAAAAATACATAAAAGAAGACTAACTTTTCTTAGAAAATTATAGGCTTGTTCTGCTGATTTTGTGTCTGTTGTATTCCAAGCATCTGCTGTGGTTGCATAGGAGAAACCAGTCCCAACAGGTGAATCCAGAAACAAAATATTGGAAGTCTGGAAACCATAATTAATTAGTTAATTAATTTTGTAATTAAGTAACTTAAGCATTAGTTAAGTTATTTGATTTCAGATTTTGTACCTTTGACCAAGCAGCTGGTTCATATACCAATTTTGGTAAGCCTCCAGTGTAGTTATGGATATCAAATTTTAATGGGCCTAATATAGAATTAGAAACATGTAAAGATTCAAATATAAGAAACAACACCTGATATTAATAATAATTTAACATTTAATTCAGGGAGCCCACTAAAAGAAACAAAATTAACTATCTACGTAAAAAGAATTTGTTACTGTCTAGGGATGGCTTTTTGTTGGTTCAATTCCAACAAAATCGAACCATTAGAAATCAAATTTTTGTATAAATAATAAATTGAACTGAGTTGTTTGTAGAATTTAATCAAATCATATCAGTTTGGTTCAATTTGATTCTTTTTTAGTTAAATCAGTTTAATTAACCAAATTATACAAAAAAAAAAAAAAAAAAGAAATTCATTTTTCAATTAAAACTGAAACCGAAGTAACTTTTTAAATTGAACCGAACCAATCAGTTTGATTCAGTTTGGCCTGTTATACCAATTATTGTCCAGTTCTAACTATATAGCTTAGTCATTGGCTATAAAAACCATTGTAAATTGTCATGAAATGAAAATTTTTAGCTCTAACTAAAAGTCCACTTTCTAATGAGTCAAAGGTGATTTGCAGCTATTTACCAACTATACTATCATGAGTATATAAATTTTGTTTTTTTTCTCTTGAAAAGTAAAAAATTTTGTTAAATAAACAAAGAAAGTACACATATACCTATTTGGTAAAAAAATCCATTCAAGCCTGAGCAACCAGGGCCTCCATTGAGGTAGAGAAGAAGAGGATCAGCAGCTGGGTTATTTTCTGAGTGAACAAAGTAGTAGAAGAACTCAATATCTCCCACACTTGTGTAACTGCAAATACGAGAAGGAAAAAAAAAGTTAAATTCAAAGCAAATAATGCTTACCATTTTGATAAATTGAAATTTCTTTGAAGAAGAATGAATTACCAGAGTTTAAATTTTTTGTTTTTTGTATTATCGAAAAAGTTATCAAAGTTTGGATATATTTTATATTGCTAAATAATCTTTTAATTATTGTATTATTAGTTTCCGAAACTCTAAGACTCTGAATCTTTTATGATATGAGATAGACATTTGATTATTAGACTCACATCCAAATAAAAAAAAAAAAAGCAAATACATACCCAGTCTCAAGTTTGAAGGGCAAATCACCAGAAAAGCCAGGTAGAGTGGTTATAATTTGGCCAGAGAAAGCAGTTTGAGAAAGAAGAAGTAAAAGTAAGAATTGCAAACACTTTGTAGAACAATGGGAAGCCATAGTAGGAAAGTGGGTGAAATCCTAATTTTCATGCAATGATGGAGAGGCTCTTTTTGTTGTATATATAGTTCATTTTATAAAGGGAAGTTGTTGAAAGAGACTTTAGACTTCTTGATATGAACATAAGATTTTTAGTTCCATAATTATTTAGAAAGTTAGGAGTCATAACAAGAAATTTCTGAGGTAGTTATTTGTTATTAGAGAAAGTTAGATATTATACAGAGGTCAAAAGCAAAGATTAATATTCAAATATTTTTATGAAGTGAAGAGTAAATAGAAAGTTTGGTAGCCATCAGTCCTCATTATTAATTCCTTTCTTTAATGCTAAGTTAGCTAAAGAGTGGAGTATTAGATTCTGGTAAAACCAAGTTCTGTGGTTAATTGGACTCATTCCACTTGGGCCACTGCATTTTTAAGTTAATGGGCTTAGACAAAATTAGTTAAGCCATTTCGATGAGTTAGGTTGTAACTTATAATAATTAAACCCAGGGTCTTTTTAGCCCATTGGGTTTTGTTTTGTTTTATTTTCTTTCCCATTAGATTTGTTTTACAAAGGATATTTCATAGATGTACACTTTTTTTAGTATTGGGGAGGGGATTTGAACTTATATCCATTAGCAGATCGTATATGCATTTACCATTAGATTATATTTTAGTGTGTAGATGTATACTTTTTTCCATAATTTTTTTTTTTTCAAATATGAGAGGAGGTTGAAACGTAATCTAGCCCAATAAAGCAAAGAGATTGTAAGTTTTTTAGTTTTGGGTTTTTTCTTCCTCTTTTCTCTCTGGTTTATCTAACTCTAGCTTTTATTTTGGACTGCCATTGTTAATCAGCGGTAGCCTCCTACTTTTCTTTGTTTTTTTTTTTGTTATTGTTGCTTTGCCTCCATTTTTAGAGTTCTTTTGTCCTTTTTCTATGATGATTTGGTTCCTTCTTTGTGAAGATTTGTTATTAAATTGTTGCCTTTTGCCTCCATTTTAGAGTTCTTTTGCTTTTCTAGATGATTTGGTTCCTTCTTTGTGAAGATTTGTTATTAAAATGTTATAATATTTGATTTTATTTGATTGGAGAATTTAAATTCTTTGTATTTACTGATGTTGTATCTTCAACATAGAGCCTATAGAGCCTCGTAGTGCGGCCTGTTACTCCGTTAATGCTATTAACACATAGTAGCTTAAACTCATCCGTGTACGTCATACCCAATAAGTTTTTGGAAAAGCAATCCATGTATAGAATATCTGGAGAAATTATTTTGTCGTCCAAATAAATTAAAAGACTAGTTCTACTATAAAGATTTATATCGGCTAATGTTATCTTCAAGCGGAAAAATTCAATATTATTTCTTTTAGTTTTAGTTTTAGTTTTATTATTCAAAAGAATAAAAAATAATAAAATAATTCTTTTATTTTTGAAGGATAAACAAACTTTCTATTACTTATGATATTAAGTTCTATGTCCGGTTTAATTGAGTATTTGTAATACTTGATTTTATTATTAATGAATCATATTTCTAAAAAAAAAAAAAAAAAAAAAAAAATAGAGATTGCACATCAAAGCATAATCTAGTAGTAAATACATTTATAATTTGATAATATATCCATATTCAAGTCCCTATCTAGGGGTCTAAATGAGTTGAATGGGCATACGAGCTGTTCAAGCTTGGCTGGAAAAAAGTTTGAAAAATTTGGCCCAAATCGAGTTCGAGCCGGCTTGCAAGTTGTTCGAACTCAACTCGAAAAAGTTTAAAAAAATTCGGTTTGAATCCTATTTGAGCTAACTTATTTAGTAAATGAGTCGAGCTCGAGTATAGTGATATTTAGCTCAAAAACTCATTGAGCCTTATCGAGCTTATATATACGAAAAAAGTTTTAAAAAAATTAGGTTTGAATCCTATTTGAGCTGACTTATTTAATAAACGAGTCAAGCTCGAGTATAGTGATATTCAACTCAAAAACTCGTTGAGCCTTATCGGGCTTATATATATATATATTAGGTTTACTCAAACCTTGACCTTCAAGTTAAAACTTTTTCAAGTTGAACTGAAGTCTCAAATCGAGCTTGAGCTTCAAACTTTTAGGCTCTTCGAATTTCAAGCCTGGTATGTTTGAGCTCGACTCTGCACGTTTACACTCCTACCCCTCCTCAATATCTAAAAAAAGAAAGAAAAGCAGAGGGACTAATTGCAGACAAAAACTACAAATTAAGTAGACAACTCATGAAAGGGAGCGGGATCGCAGACAGCATTGGCTTTATTGTAATGTAAAGCATCATTTGCCAAAATTTGAAGATTGACATGTTGTAAAGCATCAGTCAGTTGGAATATGTGAATATATATATATATATATATGTATACTCCATTCATCCTATAAATATAAATTTATTTTTTTTATTTACATTAAATTACAGGCCATTTTCTTTTTAAAAATACAATTAACTTATTCATTATCTAATATCCCCATATTTAATAATTTTTTCATTTAGTTTTGTATTCCAAGTGACATATAATATTAATAAAAACTTATATTAGAAAAAGTATAGGTAAATAAGTCTATTTAATGGGACAAAGAATGTAATATTTTATTTCTTTTATAATTTGTGCGGGGAAAATAGATGGAGAAAATCTACTAATGTTATTAGCACAGCATGGTAATGAAATCATTTGCCAAATGTGTTAGGATACCGGCAATAAAATTACGAAAATAATTACGGCAGCGGAAAAATTAAAATTGGGACACACAGAAAATTTACGTGGTTCACCCTCAACTGTTTAGGGCTACGTCCACGGGACCAACTCCGAATATTTTTCTTCCACTATTAAAAATAGTATGCTTACAAAGAGAGTAACCGAATCAATCAAAATAAAAAATAAAGTCAGGTTAAAATATAAATCGAATTCAACCAATTAATTTATGTTATTACATTGAATCAAATTGATAATTTAATTTGACTTTTAGAAAAATATCGAATTTTTCATTAAAGCTAAAACCAAAATAAAGATTTTCGAAATCGAAACCAACACTTTTTTTTTATTTAAAAAGTTAAATGAGCTAAAATAATATTGTTGGCTGCACAACATGAGTAACACTTCGTTTCTTTATTTCACAAATGATAATTCACCATTGGAAAATCTTAAAATGTAATATAAATTGCATGCATTATTAATTTGTAGAGATTTTTTATTACATGACAATTTTGAGTACTCAGAATTCAAATACTGGAAAATAATTACAAGAGGAGCAACAATTTCAACTTAGAGAGGATAATAATGAATCCACCTTCGAAACATCTCATAACACTCTCTTCGATAATACGCCGGCGCACAATGACCCCCACCCTAAATAAGGTAAAAAATTTATATTCAGTATCGAGAGGTCTTGATTTCAAGTTTACAAATATATATATATAAAAGGTAATAATTTACTTGCCTTAACAGTTGTTAACAGTTTGCGTATGTCAAATAAAATATCATCTTCTGAGAAGAACAATGATTTTATTGTGTATTACATTGGATGATTCAAAAGGGGCGTAAGTTAGTTTGGGGATTTTTCGGTCATTCAACATTAATCAGAGTTGGAAAATACTTACCCTGCAATTTGGCCATCAACAAGCCATGGTCGCCAGTTATCATCAACAGTCAAATTAAGAGACTTTATCCATTTCTAAGTTCCAACAAAAGGAACCACCATGTCACGGTCTCCGCTGTAGCAACATAAAATTTTATTGCAATAAGTATCATATCGGTTATTGATGTATGAAGGAAATGCCTACATCTAGTATATTTAGATTATTTTTTATTGGCAAATGGATTTTGTTAAGTGTTTTCATACTTGAATTTGCGATGGTATTTAGATAAATTCATTCCGACGGTAATTCTAAATTTTGATTATACTCCTGATATTACAGGTAAAATTACCTTCAACTATAAGTTCATTTTATAATGTGATCAGATTAAGCTAAAGCAATGCAAATTAGACTAAATAAAATATTTAACTAATTACCTTTCTACTAGAAGTACCAATCTTTTGGTACTAAGGTATCGATTAACTTGAACAACGCTTGGAACATTTTTTGTGTATGATAAAGTTCTATTGCACCTTGACCAGTATGGCACTAGCCCCTGTTAATAAGTACCATTACAATTAACACTTCAGCTTAACATTATTAACAATCATAATTACTACTCTCAAAGCAGTCAAACCTTTCTAACGTGTAAGGCATCTTGCACTTCCATATTATTTGCCCACACATAAGACATCGCATAATTAAAAGTCTGCAAAGAGAAGTTTATATAGTTGTCAATACTTAATTTGCTAGAAAAATATGCAAGAAATTAAGTCGTTTTGGATTCGTTTCAATCGGCTTTTTTTGAATATTGGGGATGGGGGATTCGAATTTGAATTTATTATCAGGTCGTATATGCACTAATCATTAGACTATATTTTGGTGTGCCAATCAGGTTATTCGTCGTTGGGAGTTTCTTTGAATTAGATAGACAATTACTATCTTTAATTGGGAGTAAAATGTCAGTTGCAGTTGAATTAATAATAATAAAAAAAAATATTCTGATGATAGGAGAATTACTCGACACCACAATTCGGGAATTCTTGGTGGTGAAAGGATGAAATTTGTAGATTTTTCTTTCATGGATCTTCGATTTGCTTCCGGGGATACAAAAAGACATTTAGGCTCCAAGATATCACCTTTATACAGATCTTTAACACACTGCAAACATAGAAATTTAAAGACTTATATTTACCAGCTAAACAAAAAAATAAAAATAATAAACAAAGCAACATAAATAAAAAAATCAAAAATAACGATTTTTTTTTACCATTTCATAAGTTTGAAGGGCAGCTACACATGCTGTGTTGGATGGATCTACATTCACATACATCTCATTGCAGCTCTTTTTAAGATTCTAGAAAAAGAAGAAAAATATAAGTCACACCAAATAAGTAAATAATTCTGTCTACAACGCCTGAATTCAGTAAATAATTTTTATACAGTTCGATTTGTAGAAAAATACTTGTGAAAAAGGAGTAACAATAAACTCCGGAACAAGATTAGTCATAAATCAAAATAATAAAATAAGTTACTGACATCAAAATTTTCTGAAATTTGTTTGCATAAGAAATTTTGAACCTGTAGATAATATAAAATGAACATTTGCTAAACTAAACATCGTAAAATGCATAGAGAATGAAATATTAGATTACATGATATTGTTTCTTTGAAATTAGGGCCATTCTGTAAGCAAATATTATTTTCGAATTTTCATCTATAACTGAATCTGTATGGGGGCTGCCAAGCAGATATCCCTACAACAAATTTTAAAAACATTATTATGGATTTCATGCTATTTACTTAAGATGACGTTTGGTTCGCTTTGAAGTCTATAACGAAATAATCTCTATTTATTAACATAATTATTAATCTGAAATATAATTCTTTGGATTTAGTATTCAGTTTAATTTAGTTTTAACGTGAACCAAACGTGTCCTAAGATAAAAATAAAAAAGTAAATAAAAAAGAAAAAAACACATTAAAATAGAAAACATGTACCTTGAGATTCAGGTATGGATAGACTTTTGCTTCATTACCTGCAAATCAATTGTGATGGAGTCAAGCTTGGCAAGCTAGAACACATAGAATTATGAGTTGATAAAATTTTGAAATAAATGCTAAAATGCATAGACCATAGAGGATGAACATAATAGATTTACCTATTGAAATGTTGTCTTGAAATTAGGGCCATTCTGTAAAAGCAAATATATTTTCGAATTTTCATCTATAACGGAATCTGTTATAGGGGCTCCAAGCAGATATCCCTAAAACAAAAATTTAAAAACATTATTATGGGATTTCAGTGCTATTACTAAAGGACACGTTTGGTTCGCTTAAAGTCTATAAACGAAATAATCTCTATTTAATTTAACATAATTATTAATCTGAAAATATATAATTCTTTGGATTTAGTATTCAGTTTAATTTAGTTTTAACGCGAGAAACCAAACGTGTTCTACAAATAAAAAAAAAAAAGTAAATTAAAAAAAGAAAAAAAAAACACATTGTAAAATAGAAAACATTGTACTTGGAGATTCAGGTTTATGGATTAGACTTTGCTTCATTACCTGCAAAATCAATTGTGATGGAGGTCAAGCTTGCGCAAGCCTAGAACACATAGAATTATGAGTTGAATAAAGTTTTGAAATACTTATTACCTTCAACCACTTTTTGAGTGACCAATGGAACAGTAATGCCTGAGTAAGAATCACCACCAATAAACAGCTGAACTAGCAAATACTGTGGGTTTTCTAGCAACCACTGCAATAGGGTTTGAGAACTTTAATTATTACATTTTGATTAACAGATGTTCTTTTCAATACACCAAAAATGCTAAAATGGGATAGGAGTTGTCAAGTTTGAATCGCTACTAATTACCTCCGTAAGTAGCGGCGGAGTTAGGAAAAATAGTTTGCGGGGCGAAACAAAATTTTATAAATTTTTTTTTAATATGAAAATTTTGATTTTCATATTTGAATTTTGCTAACCTTCCTCAGAAATTGGTAAGATTGCTCTGCTGATTTTGAGTCTGAAGTGGACCATCCTTCTTGAGTTCTGGCATAAGAGAAACCTGTCCCAACTGGTGCATCCAAAAATATAATGCTGGCTGTCTGAAGAATTATGAGTAATTAAGGATCAATTAATTTTTTTTTTAATTTTCTGGGGAAGAAAATAACTAAATAATGTAATTAATGAAAATAACCTTTGTCCATGCATATGGGTAGTACTTCAATTTTGGCAAGCCCCCAGTGTAGTTGTCTATGTCAAACTCCAATGGTCCTTAAAAAAAAGAAAAAAGAAAAATATTATTAAAAATTTATATTACTATGTATTAGCACGGTCATGGGGTTTAGAAGGGATATTAACCTTAGGCCTATCTTGGCGGAATACAAATTTGATGGACTGAGATTGATATTTGCTGGAGGCCTGTCTTGATTTCTTACCAACTTTGCTCGGAGGCCCTGTCTTGATTTCTTACCAACTCAACAAAATCTTATTTCCTAATTCTGACAATTTTGTGATTTGACGTTTCAAATCAACTTTGTCAAAAGATTAAGTTTGATAGATGAATCGATTAAATAATGTCCTCATCATGCATGCCTGGTCAGCTTTCTCTTAAAAAATTTCAACCTATTAAAAATAAATATTCGCTATCGTATCGTTTTGTTTATAATGTTTGATAAAATATATATATTTTAAAATTTAGTGAATAAAAATTATTTAAATTCTTTTTATCCTTCACTCATTAAAATGTTAATAAAAATTCATTCATTTTAGTGAATATATAAAGTTTTATGAGAAAAATAATTATTTAAATGTACAAATTTAAAAATTTTATAAATATTTTAGGACATTCAAAAAAAAAAAAAAAAAAAAGCATAAGCAAACAAAATGGACGGAAGGAATATATATAATTAGCTAACAACTATATCATTTAATCATTTAGATTAATAACAACTGTTTCTAGTAATTATTAGTTTTGTTTAATTATTTATATAGTGATTTTAAACGAAAGTGTTCAATACAAATAAATATTTGATTAGATAAAAATAAATATTTGATTAAGGTAGAAGTAATATTTTTGATTAAAATCTTTCTAAAAACTATTATAGGTATTAACTTTAACAGAACACTATAAATCTATATAAAGTGTTTTCAATATTATCCGCAAATGTTGTTGCAAGCAAGAATTATAGTGAAACGAACCCGAAAATTTAATTTCGTTAGAATTTTATTTAAAAAAATTAATTTTTTTATTTCAACATGAGATTTATATCCCACTAGTTTTTTATTATTGCTAAACTGGACCCATAAATCAATTTGATTTTTTGAAAAACCAAGCGAAAAACTCAAAAATAAGCAAATATGAGCCAAATCATAGAATTAGACCAAAACGTTCGAATCGAACCGGAAATGGTCTAGAAGCTTTAAGAATTCTCCTTCTTTTCTTTTTTTTTTTCTTCTTTTTCCTTTTCTTCTTCGGGGGAACAGCGTCGACCCACCTCCTCGTTCTCCTCCTCTCGTTTTTTTTTCCGACCGCCTGAGACCAGATGCCGATTCCGGCCTCAGCCATTGCCTCACCTGCCGCTGCCCGCGCTCCTCACCGCAGCGTCTCCTCGCGGTATCTTCTCCCTTTCTCCCATCTTTCCGTTCCGATTTCAGCGCAAGTCAAAGAGAAGCAGGAAGGCTGTGTAATCCGCGAATCGAGCTCCACTGCGATTCCGGCCACCTGAAGTGTGAAGTCAACGTCGACCTGAGCTCCTTGCTCCGTCCTTCGCCTTCACTATTTCTCTCCTCTCTTCCGGCGAGTCACAGTAAAGAGTGAGTGCGATTCACTTCGTATTGGCAGACTCCTTCCAGCGCTAACCTCTGCTTCTCCGGCAAGCCACCAACTAAAGACCGGCCGATTAGACCCTTCCATTGTCGCTAACAGCTTCCGCCGGCCACTGTTTTCCGTCAAGTTCCGATTCAAGCTAAACGGCCGGCACAAGAGCCTGGATTTCGGGTTATTTGGGTTACCACACCGATGACTTAAACCGGAAATTATTCACTTCCGATGCATTTTGTAGCCAGGTAATTAATTTCAACCCGTTTCAATACATTTCATGAATTTTGATCAATGATTAGGAGAGTTGATATAGAAATGGAAATTCTTAGCTACTGTTAATGCAAATTAACTAAGAAAATGTTGATAAATATTATTAATGGGAGCTACAGTCTAAGTTTTGGAATAAGTTAAATAGGATATATATAACTATATATGCTAGACATTGAAGGAAATTTTGATAAAATGAAGATTTGAGCATAAATTTAAGCTATTGGCGGAAAATTTAGAACCCTAGCTTTTATTGTTTATGCATTCTTTAAGGGAAATTTGGTTTTTTTTTTTAACTTTAGTCTGAATTTAATAGCTAATTTAATGGGTAGCATGAATAAGGAGATTTTAGTTTTAGAAAATAAGTATAGCGTGGGGTGGCAGCAACCAATATCTGTATTGGTTGAACTATTGTTGAACTATAAACCAAAATGAAGTCGTGAATTAAGTTTCCTTAGTGCGGTACAGCATAGTAATAAGTTTAAGCAAAGGGAGAACCTAGTGTTTGATGGGCAGTAGAGCTATTGGGCAGATAATTGATACCATTTTATATATAACTTAATGTAATCAATGGACGTACATATATTTTTCAATGTTTTTAATATGAATTAGTAATTGGTTATATCTAGAAAGGGAATTTTTTTATGTCAAGATGGAGAATGAATTCATGGAAGCTTTAATTGATATATAGTTAGTTGTTAAATTGGGTTATTAGAATATGCCCTTTTATTAATTGTTATTAATTTGAACCATCGGTTCTTAAATAGCTAGTTTAAGATTTAATAAATGTTTAAGGACGTTGTTGACATCCTTAAGTAAAGAATGGTTGAAATATTATTGGACCAGGTTGAAAGTTACTTTAATTGTAAATTTATAGTTGAGTGTGACATTGCTATTTAGGAGGACGGTGGTTTAAATTGGTTGTGCGCCCGATGGATGGGCTGTGTGATTGATGGAATTGTTAAGTAATATTATTGTGATATTTGAATAGGTTAAATTAGCCCAATTTTTAGGGGAGGTGCTGCAGAAATTTCGAATAGAACTTAAAGACTAGTTTTTTAGTTAGCAATATAAAGTAATAAGTTTAATTTAGAATAATTCTATAACTTAATACATAATAAATAAGTATTCTAGATTTATTTTTACCTATCATCAACTATTTACTTAATTATTCCATTACTTATTTATTTTCATTATTACTTAATTATTTCTATCATTGTTTTTATTGTTAATATTGATTTATTTATTTGCATTTGAGTATGAATGTCTAATTTGTGCGCATTGCATTCCGAGTTTAACTTTGCAATATTTTCTGCAATTAATTGCAAATGCTTGATTAGTTTTGTGATGTGACAATGCCTTGCTTTGTTTGTGTGAATTGGGGAATGAAGTGGTCACCAATGGGTTTGTGAGAACTGTTTTCTGTTATAAAACGGATCCTGATTCTGATTCTGGTTATATTCTGATTCTGTTATATGGATCCTGATTCTGGTTTCTGTTAGCCGGGTAAATGGGAGAATTGCGGCGCCCCGTGTGCACCTACCGTTACCGGTTACTTAGTTAACCCACAGTTGGCTTCTTTAAATTGGGCGCACCGGATAAATATAGATTTGAATCGCAGCCCGCAGGTGGCCTCCTGTTGTGAGCGCCTGAATGATCTAGATTTGATGGAGACCGACCGGGTTGCCTCCTGTTGTATGGAAAAGAAAAGAGAGAATGGAAAAATGGAAATGAGAGGGCTGTCCAAGTTTGAGGAATTAGACCGGTCGGCCCAGTATGGGGATCGGCTTCCTGTGCACATGTGAGAGGATGAGCCATGTGGGAAGGAACGGCTCCATCGGGGGTTCGGTGACTCCACTGACTAATTTCCACGGTGATGTGATTATATGAACGATGTTTAATAATTGGTGAGTGCCTGGTGATATCCATTTGTGTGACTGGCTGTGTGAGCATATAACCTAGTCGGATGACTAGGTTGATATATTTATACAATTGTGTGAATGCATGTTTGTGCAATAATTATTATTCATTAAGTAAACTCACAATTCTTTTGTTGGTTCAAATCTTTCAGGAAGTAAGCATTTTCCTAAATCCCAGTTATAAACCCTCTGCTCTTTCACCGTTAAATGAAATTCGCTAATTTTAGTATTGATCAATTAAAATAGATAAATGTCCGAAGACTTATATGTATACATCCGTCAGTTAACTCCGCAAGTTTTATAGAACTTGTTATACTTTTAATTGTTGTAATTATTTATAGATGGAATAATTCTGTTGAGCCTGTATTATAACTATATGTGTATTGTAATGCGGGAAATTTGTTTAGGATGTTTAAAATTTTACTGAGATAGCAAATTTGTACGTGTTTCCAGGCTTGCTACGGGCCTCGGGGGCCTTAAGCTTACCTGGGCCAGTGCCGGTCCGGCCGCATGGAAAATGGGTCGTGACAAAGTTGGTATCAGAGCTTTTAGGTTAGGGTTTCTAGGAACAACTGCGGAGTATAGGAAATTTCTTTTATGTTGGATCGGCCGTAACCAACATAAGGAAGGAGAACTTGTGATTTTCCTCCCTAAGGGAATAGAGTAATACCTGTGGTAGTGGATTGGCCTGATCACCCAGTACACTACTTTTCAATGCGAGCTCTATTTCCTATAGTGAATTAGGATGGTGTAGAGAATAATGATTTTTCAATTTTGTATGGTGGATTGAATGAATTTTGGGTGATTAGGAATCGTATTTTAGTTATTCAGTTTCGGCTACTGAATTTCCCTTCTTTTAAAATTTTTCTTTTATTGTTTTATTTTACTTGATATTGATATTTAAATTTAACCTCATTTTTATTTTTGAATTCAAATTTGTGTTATGATAAATAAATTGAATAATTGAAATTATTTGTTATAGAAATTATTTTTGAAGTTGGTCTATTTATATCACGGGGCCAGTTAGCGTAAAACAACCAAGGTAAGTTGATCGTGAGTATGGTTAGAACTTAAAAAGGAAAGGTTTTAAGAAGAACAAGATTAAAAGGTAGTAATGAGAAATGATGGATGTTTAATAAGAAGTAAGTAAGACAATTTAATAAGTTGGAAATAAGGACACAAATGTTGGAAAAGTTTGAGGAGACAACTTTAGTTTAAGAAGCGAGGTTGCAAAATAAATGGAAAGGAATAGACATTAGGAAATGGACTTGAATGGTTTAAAGGTATATAGAAATGGTACTATGTACAAGGTGTAATATATGCTAGGTAGCAAGTGGTAGACAAAATCAAAGTAATTTATAAATATCTTACTCGACTTGAATAAGAGAATATTGGGTTTGATTAGGACAA